ACTTCCAGGACTGAGATTGTGAATTCTTTTTAGTATTTCTTCAGTCTGGGGGTGAGTGTTGTTGACATAATGGCTCTGACTTTTAGTCATTTCAGCCTGGCCTGCAGTTCTGCTAAGAAAGGCTTCCTTTCTGCAATTGTGCCTTAATTCCTGTGGCCCCACTTTCTCTCCCCAGCTTCTCTACTTCTGAACTCCTCACTCATCCTCAAGTCCGGTTCATTTGTTTATTTTTATTTTCTTCTTACATTTTTTTCCTTTCCAGAACATTTTATTATATCTGATTGTGATTATAAACCAGCTGCTTGACAACTCCTTTTGGATTCTCTATAATCCTCCTGTCTGGCGATAGTGATAAAAACAGTAGCTGCAACAGTAGTACGATAATGATAATTCCTGACTCATCGTCCTGTGAAGATGATCTTCCAATCACTGCCCTTTGATAACCATATTACACGTATCATTTTCACTGATCTTTAAAGATATCATTGTATTATATTTTATTATCTCTACTCTAGTGGTGAGGAATATGAATTAGGAAGGCTAGGTAAAATCTCTCCATAGTGATGGAGTTGACAGAAATATCTCTCAGCAGCTGGGAGCTCTGGTTCTGAATTGTGACCTGACTGTAATTCTGCTTAAATTATGTTTAAAATTGGACATTCTGAATATCTACTGGCATATTTTCTGTGACTGGAATGGCTTCGCTTTTAAAAAAACATGCATCGTTTCAACATGTACTCATTCTTCATACTTTATATTTTGGGTTTTCTTCTTCTCTAGGTGGTTTATAGCTTTTAGAGGAGGGGCATGTGTGAGGTAGAAGACCTTATTTCTCCTGAGCCATTTCAGAGAATACAAAAGATGCATGATTCTTTTTATTATTGATTTAATATAGCCTCTGGATCGTGGGCCAGATGGTGAAGGACTAGGGAAGAAGGCTCCTAAGCACTTCCTAGACCAGGTAGACATTGCATGGCATCAAACCACATTTCAAAGCATGAGTTGATTTCATGCAATCTTAGAGATAAGCTCTGCAATCAGCTCAGTGGTTAAATAATTCTCTGATAGATAATTGGGATTTCTTACCTCTAAAAATTCTGACTGAAATTTTAGTAGTGATCTAGCAAATTATTGAAGTGTTCCAGTAGGAAGTGATTATGAACCAGAATTCAACTCTTTCAGGAAGGTCAAGATATGATTTTACAGAGTGTTGGTATAAATAGAGTCTACTCTAGGAATTACGTGTGTAAATGTGCCTATTCTCAACACAGGTCCTCAGCCACTTTAGGGAAGGCCACTCACCACCCCTCTATCCAGTGAGCAAAAACGTTCAATTGTTTGCATCAAGTAAGCATTCAGGAATACCTTTGGGCAAAGCTTTTTATTTTTAATTTCTTTCAAAATTTAAAGATAAACGCAGGGTACAGAATGGGTTTAAAAAGTATTCCTGACCATTCAAAGTATCCATGGAATTTAGGAGGAAATTGTCCAATGGAAAAGTTTCATATAACCTATCTGTACAATTAGCCATCAAAAAACACAAGCCAGGGCACCTGATCTGAAACGAATAAAGTCTAAAATATGTTAATATAATTATTTCAAGGAACAAATGTATTTGTCAGTTTAAATTACTCCCATCATCCAGGAATATTCTCGATATTGATGTAGCTGAGGGATTTGTTGTTTTGTTTTCAAATCACGCATAATAACCCAAGTTTTTAAGAGATGATGAAAAACATTTGTTTTCAAACTTATACTGTTTGTGACATTAATGAAATGCTACTTCCCAAAGAAGCAGGTGGACTGACACTGGAGCCTTGATGCAACACTGCTTAAATCATTTGCAATAAGCAGGTGCAGCTCTTAGAACTGGCAATGTTTCAGTCTGCCCACATGTTGTTCTGGATGCTCTGCTTCAAAAGGTCATCTAACAAGATTTTTATGAGTCTGAAGAGGTGGCCCAGTGGTTAAGAATATGAGCTGGTCCTGAGTTCAATTCCCAACATCCATGTCATATGGCTAAAAATCACTTGGAACTGTAGCACTGGAGAGTCAGATGCACTCTGAGAGCAACCGCACTTATGTGCACATACCCAGAGAGACATACACATAACTTTAAAAATTATATCTAAAAGAAAGCTCTTTGTTTTGCATTGAGTTCATCTGGAAGCATGCAGGGACTGTGGCCTATTTATAAATTAATCCATTTGCAAGCAATGGCTGTGACTTGCTAGTGACAATGTGAAGACAGTGTTTCTTTGATGTTTTGCCAATATTTTAGTCATATTGGGAAAGTTAACACTAGCAAATGGTTTCTTTCAAAGTGAACACATGGGTGGCTTCTTGTTTGAGTAACGCCACCAATCTTCTAAATTTGGAAGGCTAAAAATATTACAGATCCTCAAAAGTCTGAGCATGTGTGTGTGGACAGGAGATGCCTACAACATACGAACAGCACTGAGATGTTAACTAAGTGGAGTCAGCTCTTAATTTGATTATTAATCCTCAGAAGTGTCTCTGTATAGATGATTGAAATTTTAATGTGCCTTAGGTCCTGGTAAATTTCAAATTCTGCCTTAGAAAAAAGATTATTATGGGATCAAAGAAATTAAGTTTAAAAGATCACAATTTACAAAACTGTGTGTGTGAGTGAGTGAGTACATGTGCATATATGTGTCGCTATGTATGTGTGTATATATGGTTTCATGTGTGTGTGTGTGTGTGTCTGTGAGGGGGGGAAGAGGGAGATGGGAGAGTGAGTGAGTGAGAGAGGGGGGGGAGGGAGGGAGGGAGAGAGGGAGAGAGTGAGAGACAGAGACAGAGACAGAGACTGAGAAAGACAGAGAATGAGAATGGAGGCATGTGTGCAGGCTCCTGTAGTTGGGCCCATGAAGCCAGAAGTTGATGTTGGGTGTCTATGCTAGTCTTTCTGTGCTGCACTTTTTGAGACAAGGTTTCTCACAGGACCTGGAGCTCACTGCATGGGCTGGGTGACTTAGCCAGTAAGCCATCTGGATCCTCTTGTCCCTGCCTACCCAGATCTGGGGTTACAGACCTGTGCCACCATATCCAGCTTCTTTGGATGCTGAGGATCTGAACTCATGTCTTCACATTTGCCGTAGCAAGCACTTGATCTACTGAGAAATTGCCAAGGACTGACTTCTGATACTTTCATAAGAGAACTGTGGGAGTGGAAGTGTCTCTAACTCCTTTGCCTGTTCCTAGGATGCCTTTCCTCCCACTGGATTGCCTCCTCTTGCCCTGATATGAGGGTCTTGTGTTTATCTTACTGCATCTCACCATGCCATATTAGATTGATATCCCTGGGAAGTCTGTTGTTTCTCTGAAGGTAAACAGAAGGAGCAGTAGATCTGGGGAAAGGAGAGGCGGGGTAGAACCGGGGGTGGAGGGGAAGGAGGAGAGGCTGCAGCAGGAATGTATTATATGAGAGAAAAATTAATTACAAATTTAAAATAGAGTGCCAGTTTCATTCACTCATATTCCATGTCTTTATATATCCAAGTTCAAGACAGGCCCAAGAAAGACAATTGCAAGGGAGAGAGTACTAGACTTCAGGGAAGAAAATGAGGTCTATAATTGTAGTATCATCCTCTTATTGTTAATTATTTGGGCAGAATTCACATTTATATACAAGTTCTGTATCCCCATCATGACCATGTTCATTCCTATTAGTAGTCAGTTGCCTGAGAGCTTCATTTTTTCGTGAACCTGTTGATCCACTGATACATGAAAAAAGAAGTCCTCATCTGCTCAAATTTATATTCTGATTACACTGCCTTGTGGGTGGTGGCGTGGTGCCTTACTTTTGAAAGACCAGCCTTTCCCTAAAAGCAGCTCTCAGAAATGAGCTGCCTAATGGAGACCACAAACAGGAGACCCAGCGGGTGCCGGGTTTTAGTAGCCTTGGACTGAATCCAACATCCTCTCCTGCTGAGACATCCTCTCCTCTCATCATTAATCTCTGGAGTTGGTCTCTCCATGCAGTCATCTGCAGCCAAGAAATCTGCAGTCATTTTAGGCTTACTGAGCCTTTCACCTAATCATGCAAATACCACATTTCACCTCATCTCCATCTTGCAGGATGACGCTGGACCAGGCCTTCATTATCACTTAGGGCTAATGGGATGCCTCTCTAATCACCTATCAGTCATTGCACTACTGTCAACAATGGCCTCTGCCATTAGCTGATAAATCAAAAAGTCATTAGGTTGGTTATATATGATCCAAAAGTATCTGTATAACTCTTGCCAGTCTCTCACCTTGAATGTGATTGAAGTCGCCCGAAGTTTACTACAGTTTCCCAACCACACTAACTTTGTTTCTCAGTTCATTGCTTCTGTTTTATTTTTCCAAATGTTTTCCCTACTGTCCACCATTTTCCTCTGACCAAGAAACACATATTCATATTGCAACAAACAGTTGAAATGTGTGATGTTCATTATCCTTTTTAGGGGATGTTCTGTGTGCATACTGCTTTTTGTGCTTTTTGGTAGAATCTACAGCATCTTACTGTATATTCCCTTTACCTTATCTATATCCCCATGGTGGACGGAAATCCCCTTGAAATGTGGACTCTACTGTAATTTAATAAAAGCAGTGCTCAAGAGTTTTTTTTTAATTAGGGAAAAGGATTATAAAAAGGAGAAAGGGAAGGGGGGAGACCAGGCTCCTAAGATAGGAGCAGCAGGAGAGAGGAAAGAAAAGGAGACACATACACACACAGGGGGGAACAGACAGACACACAGAGGGAGAGAAAGAGAGAGAGAAGGGTGGGAGGTGGGCAGGGCCCTCTTAAAAGGGAACACAGTGACATAGTGAATAGGCATAGGAGATGCTCTTAGTGGCTGCAGCTGAGAATGTATCTTGTCAGAACACCAAGGACAGGCCAGTAAAGATGCCTAAATACCAACAGACTGCTTTATTCGTCTCAATTTCTTAAGAAACTTGCGAAGTTTTTAAAAAGTAGGAGATGTTAATACCTGGTTTTTCAACAGGAGTTTGACATGGAAGTCATATTTCTTTATTACTGTGGAGAGGCATTGTCTACAAAGACAGAAACAAAAATTTGATTAAATTCATGTAGAAAATTAATATCATCCCCAGCTCATACATTTATCATGAGTTCTAATTTTTCCAAGATTCCCTATTAGTCAGAACATAAAAATCACTTAAAATGAGTTAAATATTTTACCTTGAAATTATTTTATTTTCACAGAATTTCAGAACTAATTCAGAGAGCTCTTACATCAATTCCCCAGTCTATCACACTTGGCCCATTCTCCTTCAAAATACATCTAAAATTGTAAATATTTTCACAAGTCCACCATTCCCACAAGGTGCATAGGTCATACTTCACATGGCGTGATTGTTAGTATTAACTGTCAACTTGACAGAATATAAATTCGATTTTGAAAACAAAGGCTCTTGGGTATATTTTGATTTAGGTTTAATTGAGACACAAAGAATCTGTGGCTAAGTACACTCCACCGTAAGGGAGATGCAGGACTGTATACTATGCAGAGGGTGGGCTGAGCATCGACACACCTTAATCCGTCCTGTCTGCTTCTTTGCTGTGTATGCAGTGTGACCAGCTGCCCAAGCTCCCAGTGCTGTGACTCCATAATGATGGGCTGTAACCTTGAACTGTGGGCTGAAGTAAGCTCTTTCTCTCTTATGTTGCCAGTCCTGAGTCTCTGTGATGTGGGAGTTGGTTGCTGGAAACACCTGGTAATACTACTGCTATGCCTTTACACAATTTCTGCTGTTTTACCAGTATAATAGTGTTAATAGTCAACTTGACAGGACCCTGAATCACCTAGGAAATTCACCTTGAGACATGCTTCTGAGGAATTGCTTATATTTGGTTAGCCTCTGACCCTGTCTTTGGGGGGGTATCTTGATTTAAGTTAATTGAAATGGGATGATCCACCCTGGAAATAGTTGTATTATTCCTCAGGCTTGGGTCCTGTACTAGCAGTCACCTTTCTCTTCTTCCTGACCACAGAGGTATATATTCAGCTACATCAAGCTCCTGTTGTCTTGGTGTTTCTGCCATAATTATTGTACCCTCAAATTAAGTTGTCTGTGTCATTGTATGTTATCCCAGTAGCTAGAAAAACAGCTAATACAGCCAGCGACTTGATCTAGCATGCATACATAATGACAGTCTTTGAAAGTCCAAAGGGGTCAGTGTTTGCAAAGCTTCCAGATGGCTGACCACAGGGGACATCTTGGAGAGTGATGAGACTACAGAGAGCTGGTGTATCTGCTTTCTTTCTTGTTCCTTTAAATCATCTCATTCCTGACCTCTGTAATGTCTTATAAGTATCAACATGCACCCTTGAGTCCCTCATGCAGTCATGAACCTCAAAGAAGGACTACAATGCCTCAGTTAATCACAGGTGCCAGTGATAATTAGCATCTGAAGGGTAGTCAGGGAGTCTCCAGTGGGCTCTGAGCCCTCCATGTGTGTTCTTTGTGGCACCACCTCCAGAATTGGAGAACACAGAAAGAGTCTAATAGAAAACTGAATTCTAGCTTGGTAGTAGAGTAGTAGAGTGAACTGTTCACACCTTTTAGGGCCACAGGAACTTCTGTGTTCATGTAAGACCAGAGGAGAGTTTGCTCTTCAAAACCCAAATACAATTCATAAGCAGATAACAGTAAATGCTACTATTAAGAAATATTAAATATACAGTCTTAAAACAAAATCACTGGGCAGGTATTTGTGAAGGATGGGGCTGTCTTCAACAACAGATTACTCTATTACTTCTTTCCCAAGTTCCCTCACTGTTCCAGCTTTATCTGTGTTAAGTGGGGTGCATGTGATTTGAGCAGAGATTCCTACCAGCTTTTCTGTGCAGAGCACTTTCTAAAACATTGTTAACTTTATCTCCTTATTTGTCCTGAAATTCCTGAGCTGAATTGAATAATGAGTTATGAAGACAAAACCTACATGGAAAACCCATTAATATATTTTACAGTAGCTTCCTTCTCAGACATTACCACATTATCACTTTAGCTGTCATTTCTAAGACTAAATGCATGACGTCTATACAATCCAGCAGAGTGGTAAGAAAATAATAACGTTCTTGTGCATAAAATCTGTTCCCAATGCTAAAAAGACGTTCAGGGACACACCTATTCTTTCACTTTGTTTATATATACATGTGTCTTATTGAAAGAAACTAATTGGAAATATTGATAGTCAATATTTCCTCAACTTGTAAGAAATAGATAAACCTTGGAAGGTGGAGGACCAAAGGAAAGCCCCTGTCGCTCTTCTAGTCATCAAGGGCTTGGTCCTGTGTTGTTTATGTTTTGTTGAGATGGGATTTAGTCCAGGATGGCATAAGTCTTGCAGTTTTATGGATCCACGCTCTACCACCCCCATATCCTGAGAGTTGGCATTGCAGGTGTGAACCCCTGGGCTGATGGTGCTTGGCGTTTGAGTCTATGAAGACATGAAGGAAAACACTGCCTCCCAGAGAACTAAGGCCTACGGAGACTATCGTGAGGCTGGGAAGGGACCCACCCTGTAACCCTGATGGCTGATGGGTTGGCATGTAGTGCAAATAGAATCACACTGAAGGCTAGCCCTGGCTTTGCTCATGTTTATAGCTCTATGTGATTTTTGTTGTTGTTTTTGTCTTTAACGTCACTGTTTTAGCTCCTATAATAAAGGAGGAGGTGTACTAAGGTGTGGCATCTCCTCCAGCCTACCTGGATTTTTGCCTACCACTCTCAGGATAGAGCTAAAAGGCAGAGGAGTTTAATCTAAATCTAGGCTGTCCCTGTTAGGTGTCTGCTCCCATTATGACAGTAGGACTTTTGTTTTGCTCTGATTTAACCCATTGGACACCTGTGCATGGCAGCCAAGACCACCAGATCGGTGAGGGAGAAGTGGTTTCATCTTTGGAACCATTTTCTCACAGCCTCTGCTTCTTCAATCTGTGTCCCAAGAGCCAGGCCCAAGTCACAATCTTCAGACAAACCAGTTGGAGGTAATACCTCCTCTCCCAGAAATTTCCCATTTATGCAATAACTTGTTAGTTTTGCTATCTCTCTACCTTACTTCCAGTTTCCCTCTTTAGTGTCTGTTTCTCCACAACCTGTGCATAGATTCATTGCATAAAAATGAAACTATGGCCTTAGTTAATATTGCAAGCAACTTATATGTGGTCCTTGTACCTATCAGTAAAGAAAAAAAATTGGATTGGATGATCTTGGGACCCCTTTTCAGTCCTAACCATTTTATGAGGGTACAGAAGGAGCCCAGATGTTTTGTGAGTGCTACTGAGGTTGGGAAAAAGCCAGTGTCAGGTCACAATAGTTTAATGCAAAAAATGCAGTCCTTGGAGATTCCAATGCACCTGCATTTGGCACTGGTGTGAATAGTGACTTGGGAGCCTGGGGTCAGTTATCTGTTCTCTCAGAGCCTCTGTTTCCTTGATTCTGAAGCAGATAAGATGGGTCATCACAGCACTGAGAGGATATTTAGGTAAGCAAAGGTATGGGAAATATGCAATAGCTTCACAAAGTGTTGAGTGCTATCAATATTCCACAAAACCAATTTAAGACCCTTTAGAGTAGGCTTTGCTCTAGGACATGTGCCATCACCCCACACACGCTAGAGTTACACCTCCTACACCCCAGGCTTTTCCTGGTTCTGCTCAGAATAGTTTGATTCCAGAGAAAGCCAGACCACAGCCCTGATGTCTACTGGTTTTACTTCCTGATGTATCTATTCTAACCAATGCATGCACATCTTTAGGTGCGAGGATCAATTAGGAGGTGCCCATAGCCTGTCACTTGAGTTTCCCAATTTGAATTCACACTCTTCTACTTATGACATACCAATTATATAAGGGAGGTCCAGAAGAATTTTAAACAGGACATGGTGGCTTTCAAGGTGTGGGAATTGAGTTTTACAATGAGCTGAGTTACACGGATACCCAAAATTCACATAATAAATGAGAAAAGGGAATCTTTGGAGTGCAATAACCAGCAGCAGAGACATTTCAGAGTGAAAGCCGTATTATTTCTCAAGCACATCTGTGTACCTGTGAAAGCTAGATAATTATGAGCAGAGCTTGGCAATGGGAGGTATGCAGTAAAGCGAAGGAGCCGGCAAGATACCAGGGAAGGGACCGTGTTTACAACGGACTGAAAAGATATTTGATCTGGCACTTGAGAATTCAGTGAGAAATAAAACATCCTACCTGGATATTTTCCAAATATGTGTAAATTCTAGAAGCTGGTTCAGACAAAACAGACTGTGGTCATCTTCACTCTGCAGACAGAAGAATATATTAATATTTATGGAGCGAATAGGAATGAGGAGCAGATAAAAATAGGTCTGTAGCTTCCTGCTGTCACTTCATTCACCTCTTTTGATAACCTCCATTTGTCATTTTTATTCTTTGTTTTAGACAGCTTCCACTACTTTCCTTAACTGTGTGAGCTTTCCTATTAGTGAACAGGTAGTGCTGAGTTTTGCATGAGGATAAACCCAGAGGATGCTGGGAAAACATATGGGCACCACCCGGGACAAACAGTAATTTCTCCTAATAAGGAGATGTAGCAGAAATAATTGAAACCCAGAGTTAGATGTTGGGGGTTAAAGCTGAAGATCAGCGAGGCAAAGTGGCCAAGTGCTAGACAGTTCTCATCTCTTCCGATGCTTGGACTGAAGGGGCGATCCTGTCCTCAGACTGCTCCCGGCTGCACTGCTGCCCAGACTGCCTGCTCTTCACCAAACCTCAGACTAAGTGAGTTCCTGTCTCCTCCCATCATATACTCCTGTCTCTGTCCAGCCATATCTCTCCTGTCTCCACCTCCCTAGTACTGAAGGAGTATCATGCCAAGTTCTGGGATTAAAGGCAAGAGCTCTGTTTCTCTTTTAGACAGATTCACTCTCATGTATCCCAGGGTGGCCTTGAACTTACAGAGATATGTCTGCCTCTGACTCCAGAGTGCTGGGATTAAAGGTGTGTGCCACCCCTTCCTGGCCTCTCTGGCTAGCTTTGCACTCTGATCTTCAGGTAAATTTTATATCATAAACAAAACATCACCACAGGAGGAAGGCTTTTGACCCCAATTTTCCTACTTTCCTCTTCTCTTTTCCCTTTTCCCTCTTCCTCCTTTTCGACTTCTCCTCCTTGGGTCTCCTCCTCTTCCTCCCCTCCTTTTTTCTCCTTCGGTGTGCACACCAAGCCATGACAGTGTGACATCTATCTTGCCAAATGATCTGATAGAAGATACCTAAATGATTCCATTTGCTTTTTTTGTTTGCTGTTGTTATTGTTTATTGTTTTGTTTTCTTTTGCTTTACCTTGTCAGGCTTCTGAAGTCTAAGGGAGCCACTTCATATAGGCAAATAAATTACAGCTACACATGAACAGGTGCGCATACACCTTGATTCCAGCTTCTTTCCCAGTAAGTGCACAAGTGCTCAGAGTTGCCTACCCTTCATCGTAATGGCATGTTTCATTGTTGAAACCTGTTTCTTACAGGCTGTGTGGTAAGTGCTCCAAGCTCATACACCCTATTGTTTTTAAAACTGCCCATGTTCCTGACAGAAAATGTCAGAAGGAAGTCCTGGAAAATGCTGCAGGCCCAACGTGGATCCATTTTTATGTTATCTAGTGTTGTGAGTAGGTTAAAGAGAAGCGAGATGACATGGAAAGAGTGTGGTCAGCCTTGTGCAACAGTGTGAGGGCACGCTGTTATTACACACCGTGTAGAAATGCTAAGAGGAGTTCCCATTACAGTCACCAGGGTGACTATGACAGAAACTGTGGCACTGATATTGTTTTACCTTTTGAAACACGAAAGCTGAAGTTTAGCTCCATATAATTTGGTAAAGCATGGGAAATTACAAAGTGGGAGGAAAGCAAAAGAGACAGTTTAATTTGTTGTCCTCGTGTGGTCAACCAATGACATTATGATGAAGGATTTGCCACTCTAAGTTTTTTTGCACAGGATTTGCAAGAATACTTACTGGAAAAAGAGGTAGAAGAATTTAGTCATGTGTGACACACATGACTAATAGCTTAAGGTATATGCCAGATAATTAATGTAGTTGAGCTGCTGTAACATGAAGAACTTCAATTTCCTCAGATGTTAATTCTAAGCAAGCATATAAATAACTTTTTTACAATGAAATTGTTTTATTTGCATGTCTCCATATTTGCTACTCATATTTACTGTAAAACGATTTTGTTTGTCTCCAGATGTGTTTTGTTGAGGAGGATATTGTTCTTTTTCCTATTTATCAGGAATACGTATTTCAAATATTTATTTATTTTAGATGTATGGGGTTAGCCTGCTTGTTCATATGTGTCTCAATTGTTTGAAATGGCTGCAGATCTTAGAACACACTGGATCCCTAGAACTGGAGTGGATTTGTGGGTAAGTTGCTTTGTGAGTTCTAGGAACTGAACCTCAGTCCTCTGTAAGAGGAGGTAATGCCTCAACCACTGTGCCATCTCTATGGTTCCCTAGAAAAACTTTTTAAAGTATATAGAAAGGACTCTTCAGCAGCCATGGAATACACTGTGCACGTTACTTTCTCTAAAGCTGACTTAGTATTTTTGTCTTAAGGAAAAACAATTTTTTTCTCATTGGAAATTTATTACTGATCCACGTCTGGTGGTACAGAGGAATGATGCAGGAGGATTATGTTGGGAGTCAGCGTGGGCTACATGGTAAGTAAGATCTTGTCTTGATAAAACTCGATTACTGCTTTTGGTCTGTGAGTACCCTCTGAGGTAGAGGGAAATCTCATTTCTGTGATTACCTTAGGCAGATTTGATCACATTTAAAAGAAATTTAAAGAGAATTGAAATGTTAAAATATTCAGTTATTTACCTTGTATTTCACTAAGGTAGGGACATTAAAATTTTGAGATCTATGTTGATTTCTAAGACCATTAGGTTGCTTTCTGGACAATCACAACATTGAGATGAATTGAGCCTCATAAGGCTTTGTTCAATTAGAAAGCATTAAGGTAATTGCTGAAAAGCAAAAAGCTCAAAAATTTAGTCAAGTGATAACAATGACTACATTCCTGCTGTAATGCAGAAGGCTAACTAAATTTACAATCTTCCCAGGGAGGAAAATACATTGTTCATACATTTTAATAATTGAAATTCTGAAAATCAAAGAGAATTTGGTATCACTTTAAAAGTAGAATTAAGAAAGAACATTCATTGTTTATAAATACTATAAAAATATAGTAAATAATAAGTAAGTTTCAAAACAATAAGCTGCACCAGTTGTATTAAGTTCACCAGAATTCCACATGTTTCCAAGAAGAAAAACTTTGTTAAACTTGTATTAAAATGAAAGTAGCTATCCTGGCTTCCTTTCTGTTCATGTGGTTAAAACACCATGACCAAAAGTAACTTGGGGAATAAAAGGTGTATTTGGCTTATGGGTTACATCATTGAAGGAGGGCAAGGCAGGAAGTTAAGGCAGAAACCAAGATGCAGGAATTGAAGCAGAGACAGGAATGCTGCTTATGGGCTTGCTACCTTTATCCACACCACAGACCCACTCTTCTGTGGACAATACTGCTCACAATGTGTTGTACACTTCCATATCAACTATTGGTCAAGAAAATGCCCCCACAGACATACCCATCGCCCAGTCTGACAGGAGTAGTTCCTCAGATGAGGTTTCCCTTTCCTGGCTGACTCTAAATTATGTCAAGTTGAGAGCTGAGACTAACTATGACAGTGACTGTGGTGGCTTGAATGAGTACGTCTCCTATAGGCTCATATACTTGAATGCATGGTCATCAGTTGGTGGATCTGTTTGGGAAGGATTTGGAAGTGTGGTCTTATTGCAGGAGTTGTTTTGTTTGATGGGGGTGGGATTTGAGGTTTCAAAGCCCCGTACCATTTCAAGCCAGTGCTCTGTATGCCTCCTGCTTGTGGATCAGAACCAAGCTCAGCTCCCAAATACTACAGCAGAACCGTGACTGTCTGCCTCTCTTGCTGCCACATTCCCTTCCATGCTGGTCATTGACTGTGAGCCTCAGGAATAATGAGCCCCTGATCAAATGCTTTGTTTTCCAAGTTTCCTTGCTCCCGGTGTTTTGTCAGGGCAATAGAAAAGTAACTAATGCAGTAACTATCCTTTTATTTTTCAGTAACATATAGAACTTGCCATTGAGAATATAATTAATGGGTATTGAAAGTTTTACAACAAAAGTTGTGATACGTCAAAATTGTTGATATTTTGATAAACATTGTGATTTATGTAATTTAGGTCTTGATTGTTTCTCACAGGCCCATATGCTGAAGGCTTGATCTCCAGGTTGGGACTATTTGGCCTGGGGCAGAGCTTTTAAAAGGGGGGTCATAGTTGGGTCACTGGAGTCCTACTCTTGAAAGGGATTGCCAGACCACAGACTGGCTCACTCCCCAGCACTGTGATTTCTGCAGTTGAGATTTTGAGTACATCCTTCCTCAGTTGTTCAAATACTCTTAATTTTTAAAAATGGCATGTCTTCTGTTTTGCAAAGTGATACTGGGCATGTCCTGGAAGACCAGGTTCGGAGAGATAGAGACCCTGAGCACCTTTCTCATACTCTGTGTGAAGGTTACCATTGTTCTCACTGGGAGGCAGGGGCAGCTAACTCCCCTATATACTCTTTTCCATGAAGTAGGCATCTTGTCATCCTGGTTCACTGTTCTATTCAGGAGCATGGGGACCTCTAAACAGAAATGACATAGTGAATATTCATGGAGTAATGTGCAGTTTTCAGCCACTAGATCTGGGGACTGGGACTGAACTCTCATTCTCTGCAAAAGCAGCAAGAGTGTTTAGCCACTGACCCACCTCTCCAAACCATGTGGACTTTAATTTCTGCGAGACTGAAGCACTAATGATTTGTGAACTACTGTATCAGTCCAAAAATTGTTTTACCAACATGTAAATTAGAGTTACACATTTCCTCTTCCTCCCCTGTGTGTAATAAAATATCACAATGTCAGCCTTTTCTGCAACATTGAGGGCAATTTGAAGAACCATAAGCTTATTAGTGTTGGACTTTGTGATATTACTCTGCCTAGATTCAGACGCGAAGTCTCAGAACTTTCAGCAATGGCTGAGCCAGAAGCCAGATCCTGGAAAAATTTCTAAACAACCCTCTTTTGGCCTCATTATGTTATAGTCAACATAGATATGCTGCAAACTGATGTGTTATTTGACATTTATTTTTATGATGAAACACCTCATATTATATAAAATTCATACACTAGAAACCTGTTATCTGATGGAAATGACAGGACACTGGGATTTTTGCTTAAAGCAGGTAATTGGAAGATTCTGTAGATGAAACCTGACAAAATCCCAACAATTTGGGTTGGGAGTATCTCAAGACATCACACAGGGAGTAAAATTCACATCAACAGCATTAAATTATATCATTAAAGTACTCTCATAGCTTTCTTGGCAGATTATTATATGCAGCTATGAATATGAATCTGGTTGGACATAAGCTACATTGACAGGGACATAAATAGTCTTCAAATAGGAAAAGACTTGTGCTATTTTTTGTCATCGGTGAGTTCTCATTTATATATGCATTTCCCTTTGTTTCTAGGTGATTATGTGGCAGCATGCCTATGATGGCCTCAATAGGTCTCTCACAAACTATTTTCTTAAGAAACCAATTGGCTTGTTGTCGGGCTGAGCGACTAGTCAGCCTGGGATGCTACAGACAAATAGTACCATAAGTATCACAGATTGAGTGTGTTGAAACAACAGACATTTGCTTTTTATCATGGTAGAGTCCAAGAGGTTTAAGTTCAAGGGGCAACATCTGCCCAAATTATAGACAGCTGCTTCTGGGCTGTGTGCCAATGAGGGGGATCTAACCTCTTATGTGGGCATTGATTTAATAAGAATCCTGCTCTCTGATCTCTTCTAAATTTAAGTGTGCACTATTTGATGCTGTCTCCTAAATCCTAGCCCTTGGAGGTTTAGTCTTCAACTTACGAATTTTAGGGTATATGAGACAGATTTCCAGTTCATCACAAAAAGCCTGAAGTTACAAGTTCATGTTATTGTTTCAGTCTGGATTGTCAAGGAACTTTATGAAAATATTTCACCATGTTTTAGTGACTATACTGAAATAAACACCTGCTCATTAAGCTAATTCCAAATTGGCAGCAAGCCATCAAGATAGAATTATGTTCTGTAAACGTGTCAATGTGCCCGGTTGAAACACACACTCAGAAATCATACCTTCCGAGACAACTTTGCTGGAGCACCACTGCTTTTCTGAAGATGAAGTTGGAAAACAGATTTATTTTTCTGAAATATTTTGTGGCTCCCTAAACAGTGATCCCTGATGAAGAAAAGGATAAACACAATTAATTATATCTTCACAAAATTCTCTAAAACGTATAAAAGCATGCTTCCTCAATGACTTCATTGCTGTATTTTGTTTGTGTTGTTGTTTGTTTGTTTTTGTTTTTTTATATTAAAACTTAGTCTGATAAAGTTTGGTAATGGTAAATTGTGAGTACATGAAATGCATTGTTCATCCATCCATATGTTCATATGAATATTCTATATTATGTATATGTATTTGTGTACTCTGTTAAATGAATACTGAAAGAAGATATGCATATCTAGCTATATATGACAACGTATTATAATTTGAATACATTAATGTAGAAAATGATTACCTGTAGAATGGGCATATTAAATTACCTTAAAGAATACTGTATATGTGTTCAGAGTTGGCCATCTCAACATGCTTCAGGATGGGCTAATGGTGCCCTGATGTCTTTGTGAGGATCTTTTTATTCAGTAAGCAGAGTGATGTTATGGAAAGTGTATGGGCTTTCAGGACATATTTACCAGCTCTACTTTATTAGGTATGGCAATTAAACTATATGGAGTTAAATACTGTTTTTACTTAGAATTGACATATTAATATATACATCAAAGGATTAACAAGAAAATGTTATGTAATTTATTTTATATTATTATATAATTATAATATAGAATAAAATTATATATTACATATAATAACATTAATTACATAATTTTATACTATAGATTATTCACCAAAAAGAAAAGCAAATATAAAAAATCATTTTGTATTTCCTTTGTGTGTGTTGCTTTGTTTTGAGCTATTTCTCAGCATATTTTCCCTTAAATTATTATCCAAATACAAATTGCATGATAATAAAAATTAATTTTCTTTTCAAAACATGCCATATCAAGTAAGAATTGATTCTTTTGTGAAATGAAGAACTTCTGTATCTGTAGCAATTTTGACAATACATTGAAATACTACATCATGCGTATTAAATGTATGGGAATTAAATATAACATTAAAATTATGTTTTCCAAGTTGTGATTTATCAGATAATTTTTAAATCATGTGATCTTTCATTGGCTCTTGCTGTTCTAGAGAAAAGTGAAAGAGTAGAGAAACACTTAAAAAACAAGAGAAAAGGTGATGTGCACTGAGAGAGGCCCAGAAGAAGAGTTCTCTCTGGGGGAAAGTGCCATCAGCCGTCAATGCTGACAGTCAAGGAAGAGGTAGATGCACCATCTTAGTTAGATGTAAATATAGTTGATATTTCCAAAAGGAGGCTGCTGGTTGCTATAGCACTTCTTTTTCTTTTTCTTTTTTCTTTTGTTTTTTGTTTTTTCGAGACAGGGTTTCTCTGTATTGTTTTGGAGGCTGTCCTGGAACTGGCTCTGTAGACCAGGCTGGCCTCGAACTCACAGAGATCTGCCTGCCTCTTCCTCACGAGTGTTGGGATTAAAGGCGTGCACCACCAATGCCCAGCCTTCTTTTTTCTTTTTTTATTTTAGAAACTGAAAGACCCCTACCCAGGACCCCCTAGGAAAAGAAAAGCAAGGCCAGGCCGTTGCCTAATGAAAGAAACCCAGACCAGGTGCCTCGCTCAGCTGGCAGGATGTCAAACAGGATCTGTGGTCACCAGAGCAGTCGTGGGACCCGGATAATAATTGCTGAAGTGGGCCAGGGTCTTTTATGTGGCAATACCAGGACACCTAGTCCTTGGCAACTACCCTTGCCCCCAGTTGTGTCTATGATCACCATAGTAGTTATGGACCAGGATAATAATTGCTGAAGCATGCCGGGGTCTTTCATAAAGTAATACCAGGAAACTTAGTCCGTGGGAACTACCCCTGCCCCCAAGATGAGCCAATGAAATGCCTGTTACTTATGTAACCATTAAAACTCTACAAATATTGTACTCCCTGCAAGCCCGGTATGCTCTGCACCCGAGTTGCAGTAGCATCCGCAGGCGCCTGTGTACTCAATAAATCACCTCTTGCATTTGCAGCCAGTGGTCTGGCCTCGGTTCTTGGGCAGAGGGTTCGGTTCAGTGCCCGGCATGCTGAGGTCTTTCAAAACAATACTATTTTACATATCAGTCCTCCCATTCCCTCACCCTCCCATCCTCCCATGCTTCCTTCAGACTCCTCCCAACTCACTGGCCAAGGATAGTGAGGCCCTCCATGGGGGGGAAGGGGAGGATAATCAAAATCCATCTCTTCCTTTCCTTTGGGGGAGGTTCTAGGCCCCCTTTCCCGTATCTGGGCTGCAATAGTATTTCTCCATAGGGAATGGGCTCCCAGAGTCCATTTGTGTACTAGGGATAAACACTGACTCCACTGTTAGAGGTTCCATAGACTGCTCCGGCCTCCCAGCTGGCACCCACATTCAGAGGTCTTGGTTCAGTTCAATGTTGGTTCTCCAGTTTTATGACTAGGCTATCTGTGCTCTCTCTAGGTCAGGTAAACTGTGGGTTTCTTCAGCACAGTTTTGGCTCCTTTACTCATCCCTCTTCCCTCTCTGCAACTGGATTCCTGGGAGTGTAGCTCAGTGCTTAGCTGTGGGTGCCTGCTTCTGGTTTGATCAGCTACTGGATGAAGGCTCTAGGATAACAACCAAGGTTGTCATCAATCTCATTATAGAGGAAGGACATCAAAGGAAGCCTCTCCACTACTGCCTAGATTCTTAGTTGGGGTCATCCCTGTCTGAACATTTCCCTAGCTCCAGACTCCTCTCTAAACCTATATTGGCTCCCTCTATCAAGGTATCTTCTTTCCTGCCCTCCTCTATTCCTCCCCTGTCTCAGTCTTCCTGATCCCTCTTATCCCACCCCCCACCTTCCTTTCTTTTTTAAGAATTTATTTTTAATCCTCTGGGCTCTAACATTCTTCATTACAGCAGTGAATTTCAGTATCTTTGACTGATAGTTATTGAGAAGGATGCACTATGTTAATGTGTTCCTTTCAAAGGATCTTGATTAAATGAAGGATTACCAAAAGGAAAACTTCATGTAGTCATTTGTGGCATTTACACTGATAGTTTACTAAATATCTGGGAATATCTGTTTCTAACTGTGTCAGACAAGTATATCACACTTAACATGTTATAAATTATCTATAATTAAAAAGAAGATTATTTGTTTTTACTTTATGTGTATGGGTGTTTTACCTATGTGTGTTTCTATGTACAATGTTCATTCTGGTTTTCCAATGGGGATTTGATGCCCTCTTCTATTGGGCATATATTTTGATAATAATGTATAAACTTTACATTTCAATTCATTGAATCTCTATGCTTTTTTTATTCTTCATGTCTACTAGTTTATAATGATTTCTGCAGTTTGTTATTTATTCTTCCAATGATTCCTCAACTCTAGTTGCCTGCTACTTAGGATCCTACCTACAGTTATGCACAGACACACTGTTTAAGATGAAAGGTTAATTCATAATTACCCCCATTTCCTACTCGCAAATAACTCATGTTATTTGAAAGTATGATATGGCATTCCTTTTATATAAATAATGAATAATAAGCATAATACCCAAATGATAAGCAAATGCTCATATATTGTACACGTGTGGCTACTGATTCTCACTCATCACGATGGATATACCTTATACATCTACATTTACTTTTACAAGGTGTTTTCTTTTAAATAAGCGTATACCACTGATTGACAGGATAGCAAGTTTCAAAGCATTATTTTCTTTGTGCTATTTTGAGACAAGTTCTGTGTGAGAGTTTGAATGAGAAATGTCCCATCAGTTTGATTATCTGAGCACTTGGTCCTTGGCTGGTGCGCCATTTAGGAAGGTTTCTGTAGCCTTAGGAAGTACATACTTGCTGATGGAAATATATCACTGGGTGTAGGTTTTGAGGCTTTATAACTTATCCCCTTCTCTCTCTCTCTCTCTCTCTCTCTCTCTCTCTCTCTCTCTCTCTCTCTCTCTGCTCTGTATATGGGTGGATATGGGATCTTCCTGTTTCTGTCACTGCTCTTGCTTTGATTATCGTCATGCCTTCCTTTCCATGGTGGACTCTTTTTCTAGAAACATCTGTTAAAATGAATGCTTTCTTCCTTAGGCTGTTTTGCTTTGATACTTTGTCACAGCAGCAGAAGATTAATATTATTTTTAATTCTGTTTAGCATTAATTAAAATTAACACAAAATCTATAAGTAGGCCAAGCTGCTCTCAAACTCATGGGAGTCCTGCAGCAACAACTCAATGTTCTGTGATTACTTAAGCCATGATAGCTAAATGTTTATTCTCACATTTAGAAAGTACTTCTGAATTGGGTTACAACTCAATGTAAAATGGCTGTCTAGCAACCTGGGGCCAATCTCCAGCATCCATGCAAAAGAAGCACCTAGGAGTATAGTGGAAAATGTTAATATGATACAAGATAATGATTACCCTTTGGTTTATGAAAAGCTAGGGCCACTGACAATTTTTGGAAATATTTCTTCAGGAAGATTCAGCAGTTTAGCAGAACTTTTAACCCTTCCTCGAAGTAGGCCATTTATATAAGTATAGCAAAATGTTAATCTATTAATGTGATTGTTAATATTGATTGTCACCTGGGTTGTATCAGCAAAGCAGGAAATTTCAAACTGTCCATCTGCATCAGCAGTCTGTCAGTCATTTTCTGTAGAAACATAAGCAAAAACTCCTTTTCCGAGTAACATATCCTTATACTTAAATTTTGAAGTCAAGGCATTTTTAAAAGATATAAGTTGAATTAATTCAGCAGCATTTATAATCAAGTGTACTTTAGTAGCAGTTCCTTCCTGAGCAATGAAAAAACTGAAAAACACAATAGCATACAGCATCCAGACTCTCTGTGTATTTTCCATCGTTACATGGCTTATTTATTTATCTATTATTACTTTATTTATTTTACTTTTATTTATTTTTCTCTGAGACAGTGTTTCTCTTTGGAAATCCGCCTGCCTCTGCCTCTGGAGTAAATCCTACCAGCGTGCGCCACCACAACGCCGGCTTTTGTATTTATATACCACTTTGCTGTTTTATTTTCTCTCTCAATCTCATGTATATTTTTAAACACACTGTAAACCTTTAGAAGTTTTGTTCATCCAAGTCTGACTTTACTGTAAATCTTTACGTTTTTCTGGCCACGTGTCTTATCTGTAAAACCGCGTCTGTTTTAAACTGCCGGTTTTTCGTCAAGATGGCGGGCGTAAGCGTGATTCCAATTTACCGCCTCAGTCCATGCTGACATCCAGCAAATGCTGCCACTTCCAGCTGTATGTACACACCTTTCAATCATTAGCAGAGTCTCTTAAAACAACCTCATTGGCTGTTTTTTTTTTTTTATGCCGAGTCAGGAAGACTCCAGTAAGCGAGCCATGAGAATCTCGGCTCGTCGCTAGAAAAACAGAGCACACCTGAGAAAAATGCTGCTACCAAAATCTGTGCTTCTCTCTGTTCTTCTGTTTCTAAAATTCCTTTAAAGCTTTTGTCATTCTGCGTGGAAATTTGATCCCACTCCTGACAACCATTCTGTTACAAGAAGCTTTTCCTTTGCTAGCCGCTTTGGTTTATCACCCGCCAGCCGACTGGGCTCTGCCGCTTTGTAGTCCCCAAATAAACACACAGGAGGCTGTATTAATTATGAAGCTGTTGGCTTTGCTTGTTTCTAACTGGCTAGCTCTGACTTAAGTAATTACCCCATAATTGTTAATCTAAGTATTTCTCTTACCGGAGAATAGTCCCGGGCTTCCTACCCCCATGGCGTTACATGTTGACTCTCTTGTGTTTCTCCTACCCAGAGTCCTCCTGGACTCCTAGTCCCTCCTATCTAGATTCCCCATTGGCCAGACAGTACTTTATTGACAAATGCACAGGACTTCCCCAACAGGCAAGCATGAATTAATTATCAAAGGACAGTCCCGGATTTGAACAAAAGTACTTCCATGTGGCATAAGTTGATACCAACAGCTTTTACTCGGTAAGGAGGTGGAGCAAATGGGTTTCAGCTTGTCCATTGAACTGTCCTGCTTTTCTGATGACTTCCTTCTATAAAAGAACAACTATCCTTCACATTCTTCATGTGAATGTGGTTTTATTTTTTCATACAAGGAATACAAAGCTGTATTTAGGTCAAAGTAACATTACCTAAATACAGTTAAAATTTTTGTTTAACTAGGAGAAATATTTTGTCACAGCTTACAACACCTTTGCTTTTTATTTATGCGGCAAGAACAATTAAGTTAAGCAATAGAACTTATCAGTTAAGCCAAGCAAACTCCATAGAGAGTTACCTATGACATGGAGTCAATAAACAGGTAAGTGATGCTAATAATTTTTGTTCTCTGCAAAAACATATACTGGGCTCCCATAAGCTCTTTTGGGGTTGCAACACACAAGATATTGCAGTTACCACCCCAGGAGGTCAGGCAGAGAGATTTGATTACATCTCAAGTTTTTTGTTATTTCTCCAACAAATCTCTAGAGATGAGAAACGTTCTGTAGACTTTACTAATTTAAATCCTTCAAGAACAAAGACTCAAATAGCACATCAACCTTTTCCAAGGTTGCATTACTGTGGAAGGCCAACTGTCTCTATCAAACAATTTTTTAAAGAATATCAGAGAACCAAACTATTTCAACATCAACTAATTGAAAGATATTTAATAATTATTAGCTTTGGGAAATAGTGACTTGAAGTAACAAAAGTAACTTGGTACCTGCTTGCTGATTGTTATGTGCCTAAGTATAATTAGTGTAGTTCTACTTAGAGTTGATTTCCTATGTCTTTTTGCAAATGCCCTGCAATGCGTCTGTGGCTCCCTTTACCACATCTCTTGGTCAATAATGCTTCTTCCATTTTATCTATTTCAAAATCCCTGATCTGGAGTATGCTATTGTCCTTACAAGTAACACATACTAATAGCTCCGAGAAACCTGCATTGTTTGAATGATTGGCTGGGTATCAAATGCAAGTCTGTTGTGTGTTATTTTTTGTTGTCAGCTGATTGTTATGAATAGATACTACAGTTAGTTAAAATTTTTAGAAAATTTCCTGAGAGTGAACTTAAAACTAATATAACCCATGATCCTGTGTGTGAGACAAAATATTCTCTCAGCTGCATGAGAGGGCTTTGTGGAGACCTGGTCCTTTTATATGACAGCACTGGGTTCTAATAAGTGAAGAGTGCTCAATGAATGTTAAAACCTATAACAGAGCCTTAAAATGTGGTAAAAATTTCATTCGTTAGCTAAATGAAATCCTTAATTTTGTTGAAAAGGAAAAAGATACATACTCAGGATAGCTAAAGCCCAGTGCTTATTGCCTATTAATATGGTATCTTAGCCTAAACTGTGTGTGACAGTCTTTTCCCCACTTGTGACAACAGGGTTAAGTTTTACTTTGAATAGAAGACAATTACACTTTGCAATCAAGTGTCTAATGGTCCAACTCATACAAGTTATCTAAGATGAAGGGAAAGTCTTCAAGATTTTTTTAAAACCTTGCATTTCTTGTAGATGTTGACCTCCAGACAAAGAGCTAGCACTATACAGTATCATCATTCTTCTTAGATTATGAATAACATTGAGGAAACACTTGTGTGAAAAGTATCGAGTTGAAATGAAGGTACAAATGTCACCATTCCAGAAGGAAGGCAAACATACTAAGTAGGGAATAGCTCATCAACCTCCAGGTGTTTATATCCCTCCTGTACCCAAGGATAATGAAACTTGTGTTTCTGATTGTGGGCTGCAACAGGTGAGTCAGATGGTGCTGGAAGCTTGAGGGGGCCACGTGAAGTGGGTTACCCCTCCCCGTGGTTACTATGCTGGAGGCCGAGGAAAAGAAAGGTGGTGAGAGAATTTAATGTTTTATGAATGAACCAAGTGATTTCTGTCTCTCAGTTGTATTTTATTTCTACTTCATTCTTATGTTAATTTGCTGATTCCATTATTTCCATATTTCATATTACTGACTATTTTACATAAAGTTTGTGTGGGATTATGACAAACCTGGAGAAGTTTCTGTTGTGATTCTTGAATTTACTTTCTATTCTTAACACAACACATTATATAAAATCTCATTTTAAAGGGATTAAGAAATTTGATAACACTGGAGAGTAGCTTACCCTATCAACACAAAAGAATGATCATGTTTACCATTGTGGGAAAAGGTTTGTTTTGATGACATTTATTGACTTACATTATCCTGAAATTTAAAATATCATTATAGAAATATTTGTAAAAGCAAAGGGTTGGGGATGTAGCTCCGTTGGTAGTTGCTGACCTGATGTGCGCGGAGCCTTGTGTCCTGTCAACACTTTGTAAACTAAGTGCAGTGGACTGGCACACGTCTGCACTCTCAGCGTTTTGGAGGGAGAGGCGGAAAGATTAGAAGTTAAAGGGGCACCATAGCAAGTTTGAAGTCAGCCTGGTAGACATGAGACTTGTTCTTTAAAAAGATAAGCTGTGGGAGCAGAACTGCTAAACAGATGAAAGACATTGCAAAGTCTTTTGGTGCCAAATTCTCTTCAGCTCCTGGTGAATCTGTTTATACCTTAACAACTGAATGATGACAATTATTTTACTGAACTTTGTCATTAGCATTTTAACAACATGTTATTCACAAATGACACTTGATTGTTTAATTGCACACTTATTAAACTCTCAGTATCCTTGTACATTTGAATTGTGTTTCACATTCTTGAACCTGTTTTTGTCTGTTGACTGCTATTTGTAAGAACAAATCACCAGTGCATTTTGTTTATGTTGAGGCTGTGGAGATTTCTGTCATGGAGTTCCTGCCCGAGTGTTTATTCTTTAATTAGTTGGCTGTTGACTTTTCTGTGAACTGCTTTCTACTCTTGCTCTTCACCTGCCTTCTCTGACCTGCAGTCAGTTGATTTCCAGTGTTTCTATGACACTCACACTGGGACCAGGAAGATGGCAGGGCTTGTGTAGGAGTCATCTGTGTATTTTAATTCACTGACCAAACATTTGCACATGTTACCTTTAGTGCTTTGGGAATGGGCAACTCTGACCTTCTGTCTCTACCCTTCCCAAACACTGCAAAATTGTGTGTATTTTCCCCACAGTTACAGCACAAAGAACTACTTTTATTTCTTTTGGATTCTACTCATGTGTTTTACAGTGAAAAGTCACAGAGGTTCAAGAAAATTGTAGTTTGAATTTACATTTATTCTAGTTCTATATTACCTCAAAGACAGACTGAATGGTCCCATATATAAAGAAGGAGTTACTATGATAACTATCTCCTGGATTTAAATGTCTAGACAACACAAAACAATTGATTAGTATTTACTGGCTATCATTGCAATTTTATGTAATATAATATTCAAAATGGATTGGAGTGTTAGTATGAAGGTCTTAAGGATTTTTTTTTAATTTCATTGTTAACTTACAGTATGTTACATGTGTTCCCTCTATAGAAAACTTATTTCCTTTTATGGATGATTTACTGATTGGAAGCGTTTTTAAAGGTAGATCCCCTTAAAATCTTCTGCATCACACATTCTCAAGGTACCACCTTTTGATGCTACAGAATCCTGTGTTATATTTCTTGCCACTCACTAAAATTTGGTGCAAATTGTAGCCCATTCATGCTCTTTGATCTCATTTGTTGGCATTGAAGACTGTGGATACACTTAAAAATTTATGTTATTCAAATGACAAGTTTTAGTATGGGACAAGGTAGAATTAAATAAACTAAAATATTTTCTTGAGGTTGATTTGAAGTTACAATCATAGGCTGAGAGAAAGAACTGGCCTGGTTGTTGAGTATCTCTCAAACTGATAAAGGGTGTTTATTTGCATTGTGTAGCAAAGCAATCGTGGTGACAATATGGTAATTATTGTTATAACCCATAACACAAAATGTCAAATAATAACTTCCAAGAGTCACTCACAGTTAATCTGGTACACCAGATTATTGGATTAGCTATGATTGATCTACAAGATATTTTCAAGTGCATTTGTGGTAGGACAATGATCAAATGGAACTCTCAGACAAAATTCATTTTCAGTCTCATGAAATGTTTCTAAAATTTATAATCATGTACAAACCTAAAGGAAGAACATTACTGCAAAACACATAAGTCTTTATGGTCTACTACAGGGAAGTATTTATCTTTTCTTAAGGACGCATTGCATTTTCCAGGATGGTCCCTAAGGTACGTCAAGGAAATGGTTTGTTGTGATAACTGAAAAAGATTTTTTAAAAAAAACTAATAAACATTTAAAGTTTAAATTCATAGCACACTTCAGCTTGTTTTGATGAAATGTCTAAATTATTTAAAAGGGTATTTAAAACTTTCATTTTTCTGCACATTCTACTATTCCTGCAAGTAGATTTGGTTACATATACACATACATTATTGCCTAGAACCTGCAGATGAGGAGGAACTTCTAGTATTTTTCTTCTGAGACTTTTTGACCTCTCTTAGTAGTATGCCTTCTAGGGCAATCCATTCTCCTGCAAATTTTGTGGTTACTTTTTAATTTAGAGTTGAATAATATTCATATACATATATATACATATATATGTGTGCATGTGTGCCAAATTATCTTTATTCATCTGCTGATGCTCAATTTGGTTTATTTAAATTAATTCCTATCATGAATAAAGCAGCAGTAAACATCGAGGTGCAATATCTCTGTAATAGGTCGCAGAGTTCTCTGGTTATATTCTCAGGAGTGAAACAACTGGGTCATATGGTAATTTTCTTTTTCAATTTGTGGAAAGCCTTCCCACTGACTTTCTCACTGGCTGTATTAGCTTGCCCTCCCATCAGAAGTGAACAAGGGTTCTTTCTTTTTCCTACATCCTTTCTAACATTTGCTGTTGGTTTTCTTGATGATAGCCTTTCTGACTGGGATGAGGCAGTAGCTCAAAATCATTTCTTACAGGGGACAGGAAGAACTGAATGTAAGTAATGGGCATGAGTTATTAAAGAGGATATAATTGCTTATCTAGTTTTAAGCTCTGTATTGGATCTCTTTCTCTCTCATGTGTGTGTGTGTGTGTGTGTGTGTGTGTGTGTGTGTGTGTGTGTGTTGGACAAACTCACAAAAATTCCTTAGTTGAAAGTATAAAATCTAAACCCAATCCACAACTTTTGAATAGCTAGCTGTTCAACTATCTAGAAATTCCGTGAGATTTATAGACTACGGACCAGGTTAATGCCAGTGTGTTTTTGTTTGCAAATTTTTATAATAAAATCCATAAAATAAAAGAAATATAAACTAAAGACTTATAGGCTTATGGCAATCACTACAATTCTTAATCTCAAAATTCCTTTATTTAAAAAATCTTTATTTAATCAATATATTTTTAATATTCTAAACTGAAACACTGTGTATCACCAAAGAATTAATTCATACTTCAAACTGCAATCTCTCCCAGAGAGCTTTATTACAGGTAGGGTAACCAATAGCCTTTAAGTTTTAAAGGTGAAATTCCTATTCACTGGGGAACCATCATCCTAGGATAACTGAATTGGTTTGTCGCCCACAGTCATAGCTTTTGCAAAATACCCTTCCTGGGATAGAGAGATGGCTTAGCAGTTAAAATCACTTGCTGCTCTTCTAGAGGACCTGGGTCAAATTCCCTGCATTCTCATTTCAGGTCACAACTGTCTGTAGTGCCAACTCCAGGGGATCTCATGCTCTCTTCTGACCTCCACAGGCACTGTAAGCACAGGGTGCACAGACAGACATACATGTAGGCAAAACACCCATGCAATAAAATAATAATACAATAATTAAATCTATAAATAATTATACATTATACTATAAAACAATAAAAAGGAAGAGTATATATATGATTCACAAAATTTCCAAATCTCTCTAAAGAGGATAAAATTTATTTGTAAATTATAACTTAATAGCATGGGGCTAGCTCAGTGACAGAGGTTTCCCTGCAGGTATAGGGCTCTGAGTTCTTCCCCCAGCATGGTTTCTACACTAGTTACTTTCTTCACGCCTTAGACCCAGTACAGAAATGGCTTATGGTGGAAGGGTTTATTTTAGCTGAGGATTTTAGAGGGATGCTAACATGGAAAGGGTGCTCCATTTGTTTAGATCAGAGCTTGTAGCTATGGAGTCTCATGCCCTGGTGGACCAGGGAGCAGAAGCAGACGGGAACTGGAAGTGGGTGTGCCCATCAAACACCAACCCATAAAGACTGATACCTGTCAACTGGACACGGCATCCCAAAAGTTTCAAAATGTCACACAACAGCACCATCATCTGCAGACCAAGCATTCAAACAGTCAAGCTTGCCGGAAGCATCTCACATGAAACCCGTAAGCACATCCTTAATGGAACACACACTGTTTGTAAGACGTCCTTTAAAAACACAAGACAAAACCTTGCCACTTAAAACTGACAAATTATAACAACCAAAATGACATTAATAAGATACTTACATCTGTAAAAACTCTTCAGAACCACATACACTTAGAAGATACTCTTTTGGGGAAAGCTGCTCATTTGCACATAAAAGCAGAGTCTCAGCAATTAGGTCTTTGACAAGATAATTAGCTGAAAACAAAAGTGAATAATAAAAGTGAGTGCAAGCTTATGAGACATTGACTGTGAAGCTTTTGAGCACAGAACCTGATAATCACATTATGAAGTATTGTGGCCAGCTAGCTCCACCAAGGGGAATTAAAGTACGACATGTTTATTTGTCTATTTATTAGCTCCATGGTTATTCTGGATAAAGTGTGCTTGCAATCATTTTCAAGTTCACTTCTATCTGGTATTGTGTTTCTCACATCAAAAGCGTTTGATCCATTATAGCTATACACAAAAGATATTCTTAGGAGGCTGGAGAGAAAGCTCTGCAGTTACGAACACTGGCGGCTCTTCCAGAGGACATGAGTTCAATCCTCAGCCGCCCACACAGCAGTTCACAATTGTCTGTAACTCCAGTTCAAGGAGATCCCAGGTTGTGTTTTCTCCCCAAGGGCACCAGGTACATGCACATGCAGGCAAAAAATCTATATACATAATAAAAATAAAATGAACTTTTAAAAGAAAGAAATGTTTGGGGTTGGAGAGGTGGCTCAGTGGTAAAGAGCACATTCTGCTCCAGGGGAGAACCCAAGTTTGGTTCTCATCACCGAAATCTGTAGCATGAGAGACACATGTAACCCCAGTTTCCAGGGACATGGTGGACCCTGCTGGCCTCAGCAGGCTCCACACATACATGTTTCAAGTACATACACTGGGCCCATACATATAAATATTAAAAAATGTAAACATAAATATTTTTAAAATATATGCCATTGACTTGATATTAAGATAATTTTATTACCATCAAAATGTGGTTCTCTGTTTTATGCTAATCCCTGAATAGAATACAGACATTATCATTTTAGTGGGTTTACATAAACATGTTCTTCAACCTCTGGGGCTCAGTTTCCTTACTAAAGAGTTTATAGTGGCATAGTCTCTGCCATTTAGGGATCTGACGTGTGGTTAACACAAACAAAATAGATGAATATGATCGATATATTTAAATGTGTCATGCCCACATTTTTAGTGTGAGCCGATGAACTTTTAGCTTGAACCAATCACTGAAAACAGGAGGTGTTGACCCTTGACAATACCAAGCCAGTAAGAATTTTTAGTAGACAACTTCAAATGTCCAACTGAATTGTCCAGTGGAGTTTTGCTGAAATTCTATTTATTCATCTATGGTTTATTTTGCAATCATATCTTCTTCTTCTCCACCACCTTCTCCTCTTCTTCCTCTTCCTTCTTCTTTTGGAAGAAAATGACTTTGGCTGGGTAACAGAGTGGTGCAAATGGCATTGTTGCCACAAAATGGAGACATGGTACTTTTAAAATTTAGATTTTTGTGGTAGATCAAGTTGTCATTAAAGAAAGGGTTTGGGAAAACAAATAACAGAGGTCATAAGGGAATGGCAGATGGTCACACATTGCCCTAGCAGAGGGAAATTAATGATATTATAGCTTGGGAATATTGAAAGGATAGTACAGGTTAAAGGTAACTCAGAGTGAGGTCACTACAAAAGGCTCTGGTAAACAGCAGAGAAAGCTGCTGGTAGATGGTGGCCAGAAAGGATCTCCAAAGGCACCTGGGTTAGACTTTCCTGGTGCCAGGGCTGCAGGTTCTGTGCTACATGGAACATACATGGATTACTACTTAGTTAGTGTTCATGCAAGACTCCACAGCTCACTGTCTACCTTCTTTCTCCCCTGCTTCAGTACTGGTGGAGCAGAATATTCTGAGGTTCACTGCATACAAGATAGGCCTCCATTGTGGGAAACTTACACATGGGAAGGGAAAGGACAGTTATTGCAGCATGTGTGTGTGTGTTATCCCTAGCTGTGGGATGAGAAAACCTGGTTTGTATTGTCAGGTATATGGGGGAAGAATACAGAAGAAAAAGTCTCAAAGAGGATTGGTCCTGAAGATGTTCTGGATTCCTTCAGTTCCAAGCAGTCAGGACACCAGAGTGTGGAGCTTCGGAGAACTGTCTGCTGAACTGTGAAATAATGTCTCCTGTAGATGGAGGTTTCTGTCCTGCCTAGTTCCACAGCCACTTTGCCCCAAGTAAACACAGAGACACTACATTATTTATTAAACTGTTGACCCATATCAAGGGTTTCTTTTTGACTAGCTCTGTCTCGAGGCTGTGGCTTAGCTGTAATCTGGCACGTTACTCTTTGGGCAGCACGGTGTCTCTTTGGTGCTTCTCTCTGCCTTCCTCTCCCCAGCCTTCTCCTGGTGTCTGGTAGCTCTGCCTACCCTTTCTGTGTGGCTACTGGCCAAAGAGTGTTTTATTCTTCAACCAATAAGAAAAACATATATATATATATATATATATATATATATATATATAAAAGGGCATCCCCATCAGTCTCCTGTCACCTGTTCGTTATTGTCTTTTGGATGTCACATATTTAGTATGCCTGATTCTGAAGTCACCATCTTTATCCTTAAATCTTTAAATCATCAAGGAAAGTCCTCGTTCATATATTGTCAACATACACATACCAGGGTTTCCTTTAAATTGATTTTATACCTGTATTTTTATTTTAGCCCATGATAGAACCATTCTATCCACTTCATGTACTTTTTCTCATTCTTTAACCTTTAAATGTCCAACAAATTAAGCAACTGGACTCAGAATCTGGGCTGATTAGATCAAAATGTAGCACCGTTGGCTGGAAAATCACAATCCTGCTTTTTTTTTTTTGGTTTTACGAGACAGGGTTTCTCTGTATTGTTTTGGAGGCTGTTGGTCCAGCCCAGCCTCAAACTCACAGAGATCCACCTGCCTCTGCCTCCCGAGTGCTCGGATTAAAGGCGTGCGCCACCACCACCCGGCCACAATCCTGCTTTTAAATACTGGGAACTGCATCTGATGGTGGACAGACTATAGGTTGTTGGACAGGCAAACTGGGTTTGGGAGAAAGAAGGCAGTGAGTGAATCAGCAGAGAACCAGATATAGGAACAGTGACACAGAGAGACCAGCTCTGGGCTACAGGGAATGGTGAGCTTCAATTTCATCCTTAAGTCGTTTATGTATTCCTACTCTTAAAATCTTCAGGAAATGATTATACTGTTTTAAAATTTCTTTTCTTCTCTAATTCAGCCAGCATGAGTTGGGTTTCAAGCTAGATGGTCTTAACTGGTATATCGATACACCATGTCTGTGTCTGTAGCCCTCTGTACTTATTCAAGGCCTCAACTAGAGCAAGAAAGAAAAAAGTAGCTTGACAAATATTAAACAGTAAAAAGATTTCCTAGTCCATTGTGTACCTGAATGGTTTTGTCCATTGTTAAGTAATAACCCATGTAGTTACATGTAAATGTTTAACAAATAAGCAAGTATTGCTCTTCAAAATAAAAGGCCACAGAGCAAAAAAACCAAAAACAAAAAGTCAGAGTACTATATAACTTTAAAGAAATCTTCAAGTGATAGAGAAGAAAATGTCCAGTAAATATTATGTAATGCAAATTTCTAGGAACCATATACAGGGGCTCATTCTTGGTCAACAGTTCTGATAATTAGGATAGTATGGACTGCACATAGCTCTTAAGTTTCTCACTGTGGGAGCAGACACCATCTTACTTCTTTTTTCACAATTTATTCTCGCACATGAACAAAGTACTTGTTCCTGCTAGGTAGAAAACAACATTTTCACTTGCACATCATCCTCATCTGGAAAATTTTAGAAATTCCATTTATTTTAATTGTGCCAAAAGCTTGCCCCACCTGCTGTTATTAATAGCAAGGAAACAAAGACTTCCAGAGAGCTATGTAAAGAGAGTCCCTGGTCTCAACTCAGATGTCTACAATAAATAGCTCATGGCTGATTTTCTTTTATTTCCCTATGGGGCAAAACAGTAAGAAATAGTGGTTCTTCTGAATGATTTCAAGGCTCTCTATCGGTACTGAGATTTGTGTATCTCCTCGCTAGTTTTCTTACCTTGTGGCAGAAGATGAAGGGTCTGTGCTGAGTTATTAGTGGAAATATTTACTCTGAACTTGGTGTCAGTGAACAGCTTGGAGGGATACGCTGTAATGATGGCCCAGATCTTTCCAGAATTGGCATTAATGTCACTTGCACGATATGACTCTCTTATTCTGAAAAGTATATGCAAAGGAAAAAAACGTGTTTAGGACATGATCTACATCATGTTGTTTTTTGAAAAACATTTCCCAATCATAAGGGGCTCCAACAGGATCTGAACAATCCTGAAAACCAGGAAGCAGCCACCTTCCTCTGTGGCATGGTGCAAATCCTCAAGCCGGCTTGGTAGAAATTACATCCAAGAACAGGAACAGAGGCAGCTCTAGGCCTCTGCAGGATGCTCCAGTTGAAATGATTAAGAGTATGTTTTCCTAACTGCCAAATGGGAGGATCCACCCAGTACAGCGTCACTGATCCCTCGCATGCCTAAATTTCCTAAGGTATATTTTGGCCCAGAGACAAGAGTACATAAACTGGTTCTTTTGTTGGGTGCCCAGTTCACAAACGCTATCCCTGCTGCTCCACAATCCTTAAAGTTGTGGATTTTAGAAAAAACAATTGAGTTATGAGAGCGTGCTGAAAAATTAGCACATAGTGGAGTCAAAGAATTGCTAGAATATTAATCAATTGGAGCAGACACATTGAGTTTGAATCCTCATGAATCTGCTTTGTTGTATTAGAGACAGGGACATACTATTTGGCTGACCTCTTTGTGAAACCAAAAGGTTCAAAGGTTCAACGGTTTTGTGTGAAGGTTACAACAGAAAAGGCTTAAAAGATCTACAGACTCTAAAGCATGTAACACATCATAGTGATCAGCCTGTATTGCCATGACTGGTCCCTCCCTGCAGGCCCGTGTTTAATGCCATATGCAGAATACACTATAAAAGATGCTAACAGATAGAAGATGCTTCCCACGGTGGGTTGAAGTCTTGCTGGTGTTTGTGTTGGTTTCACTGACAACTAACCTCTTCTTAAATGTAAACTTACGATTCCGTGTTAGTCTTTGAAGCCCTCATGTTGTGGTTTAGGGGAAATGTTCTCCATGGTCTCACATGCCTATGTGTTTGCACACTTGGTCCCCACACTCTACTGTGCTTTAAGGAAGTTCTTAGGATGTGCAGCCCAGCTGGAAGGACTGTGCCAGTATGGGGCGAGCCTTGCGGTGTATAGTCCAGGGTCACTTCCTGTCCCCTCTCTGCTTCAGATGTCGGCACTTATGTAAGAAGATACTGTTCAGTGGCTGTGGGCCACCAGATGTGGTTGCTGGAAACCACGCTTGGGTCCTCTGCAAGAGCAGCAGGCTCTCTTAGCTGCTGAGCCACCTCTTAGTAATTAAAGCATTAATATTGCTGTCTTTGGTTATTTGAACTTAAGAATATAAAGGATCCTTTGGATCTTTGCTGTGTAAATTAGCAAGAAGTTAATGAAAAATTAAGCATTGTATACAGCTTTGAGATGGTTTGCTTTGTATTTTTCTGTGTATATGTATTTTTGAGTTTTCCAATGTGGTTGTCAGGGTCACTTGCTTGTTTGGTTTTGATTTTTAGCTACCTGCAAGTCATTTTTATTTTAAAACATAAGCCTATATTATAAATGAATGGAGAAGTTTTAGGAACAGAAATATCCTTTAAATTAATTAGTGACTCAAATCTTTAATCTACTTTCATCGCTTAGAAGGAATCCAAAAACCTTTAAATAAACATGTTTCTTATGCCTAAAACAAAAGATTCAAGTGAATAAAATCAAGAGGTCTAAAGAAAATGCATTAAATTTTCAAAGTGACAGAAAAATTTCCACTGCATACGTGGTTACATGAGAAAAGCAATCACCTTTATATCATAATATTAATGTTTAGATTAACCAGGAGACCAAGGACACTGCTGGAATGTTTTCTAGAAATCCATAATGTTCTCAATGGAGAAAGACGTATTTGTTCTTCCACTGTGGTGGCAACACACTTGAGGACTCAGCTGACTTCCGGTGGGAGGCTGAACCTCTACCAGTGGAGGCCTGAGCCACAAGGCCAAATGCTCCACATATTTATGAAATGAAATGAGCTATGGAGACACTGCAAGTCAAGTTACCAAGGGCAGTGCTGACAGAGAAAGTACCTTTTAATCATCATTTTGATGGAAAAGTACTTGTTTGGGTGTGAAAAAGAAAAGCCAGTCACCAAGGTGATCAATGACAGTTAGTCAAAAACTGTTTTATTGCATGAGCAAGCTACGGGGAGTTGGCATTTTGCATGCAGATCTAATTACTGGGTGGACTGAAAAATAGAGACATTTGTTCAGACACAGAAATTTCAATATTTGTTAAAAGAGTGATACTCACTTTGTTACTTTGTTACAAAAGGAGGCCAGGCTCTTGTTACTCCCTTGGGGTACTTCAGCTATTTGAATGGGACAACCAACTTTCTGGAAGTTAAAAAATGCTAAATTAATAGAGCTCAATACAGAGAAAATATCCCCATGTTTATGAAATCTTATTTTTTGTAAAGCACAGTTTGGATTTAATTTTATCTTTTTAATTATATTGAATAAATATTTACATATTGAAAAATGTATAGATCTTAGGTATACTATTGCAGCTTTCACAAATGAATGCATCTGTGTTATCAATAACTAGGGAACATATTGAACAATGCTGTACCTTTAAAAGTTTCCCATATCTCTGTTAGATTATCCCACCAACCTATTTGTAATTACCAGTGTTTAGATTTCTATTATCATATTTTACTGTTTGGCTTCTGTTACTAAGTGATGCATCTTTTTAAACGTCTTCCTGCTGTCGCCTATCAGCAGTGCACTGTTAAGATCACTGAGCATTGGCATTCCATTGTGCAACTATCCCATGATTGCTTTGGTCCTCTTCCTCCTGATGGGCATTCTTGATAGCTTTTGGGAGCTATGGAGAAATCGTTTTTTCATGTCTTGTGCCTTTGTGGTGACAAGTTTAAAATGTTCATAATGTATGGATTAAATGTTCAGTTAAAGGGTGCATATGTGACTGCTTCTAAATCACTTTGCCTCATGTATTTTGAAGCTGTATCATCAGCTGTGCACACACTAAGTTTATTTCTCTTCCACACTGAGTCTTTTGCCATGACAACATGGCCTCTTTCACCTCTTGCCATGCTATCTTAAACCATGTTTTCCTGATATTAAAACCACAGAAGCCTTCCTTTTAGGCTGAAAGTTAAATGCTTGGTTATTTTCCTTTCCAGTCTATCTGTGTATCTGTCACATTAATCTTTTTCTGCTAGTAATTGGCCTTTATGTTCTTTAAATGTAGTATTATTTCTTGTTTATTGTTTGAACTTCTTAGCTGTTTATATTTAATATGTTTAAGGAAATGGTTTGGTTTCAGGTCATCATGTTCACATGTTTTTATGTGTGCTTTTAGTTTTAGTTTTTCTAGTTTTCTTAATTCATTTTCATTTGACTTTTATCTTTTGGTTCAATATAATTCCATTTGTAAATTATTATTCTACCGTCTTGACTCCCAGTATCTCTGAGTTCCCTGTCTCTTGCTCCCAGGGCCTCTATTTCCAATCTCTGGCTTCCACTGTCCATGGCTAACACTGCCTCTGGCTCCCACTGCCTCTATTCTCTGATTCCCATTACCTCTAGTTTCATTGTCTCTGACTCTCACCTTCTGATGAGAAGGTTCATACCTTCAGATGGTTGTCATACTCCCTGAAATCTCTTTCCAATGCCTTATAAAACATTTTTTGTCATTTTGCCATTATTTGAATGTCATTTGCCTATATTTGGATGACTTTGCATTTATTTGCAATTTGTTGCTTCTTTTGACTCCATGATTAGATATTTTCAACTAAATTTGGGAAATTTTCTCAACAATATTCCTTGAACCTTCCAAATAACAACCACATTCTTGGCCAAAATGTAGTAAATCCCCAGAGACTTCTGCTCACACACTGCATAGCTTCCCCTCAGCACAGCATCCAGAAAATCCAAGCACTTCTGAAGCCAGGAGCTAATGGGCCAGCTTTGCTCTCCAGCTCAGGAGTGATGCTGCCGTGCAGGCTCCACCAGACTGCAGGGCTACAGGGAGCTGCCCTTCAGGCATGAACCTGGATATGGGCAGCTCTAACGGAACCATGTGCTGTGCTGCCTGATGTCCAAAGCCTGAGTCCAGCAGCATTTTTCATTGTCTCATGCTCACAGTATTTGTAACAGCAGAGACGTTTACTGATTATTGTACTGTCATGATATGAACTAGATACCCTAAAGATATATTCAATTTTGATTCAGATAATTTGAATGCCATTTCTTAAGCCATGACCTTCTTGCAGAGTTAGGTATTCATATCTGTTGTTTTACTACGTTGCTTTTTTTTGTCAGCAGATGAGTTGGAGTCACATTTGTGAACTCAAGAAATCTATTTTTATTGCTCCAGGCTCTTTATGTCCAGCATATCAAAGTATTATTTTGGCTCCTCCTGTATATAGTAACTTCAGTGTGCTCTCTCTTCCGTCTTGTGTGTTTGTGTTTGTGTGTGTGTGTGTGTGTGTGTGTGTGTGTGACATCAAGTATGTTCTTCTACAAGTTCTTCATCTCCTTTATTGATGGTCACTCACTGAAACTGTAATTCATGTACTTGGCTAGAAATCTAGAGATCTGCTTGTCTCTGCCTCCCCAATACTGGGATTACAGACTCATGCCACCACATGTGGGTTTTTATGTGTTTTTTGCGGATCTCAAGTCCTCATATTTACTTGTCATCTCTCTATCCCCCTCTTCCTTCTTTATTGCGACCTACTTTTGGCTTTATCTAGATGCTATAAGCATAATAGTCTTTAAACATGACACAGGAACTCTGTGGTTATCACAGTGACCTTAAAGTAACCAAAGAAAGGATTAGAACTAATGACACAGTAATTACTTAATTTCCTACTTTTGTCTGGCCCCTAAGCAACTTGCCTACCGATCAAATAATTTAGGAGCTTCTGTGTATGAGGACATTTCCCCCTGCTGCTTAAGTTAATAAGATTTTAAATCAATATAGCATGACTCAAATTATAAATGTGATGAAATGCATCTATACTCTCATAACACAGGAAGAAGAGATAAATGCCACGAGCTAAACTTTGAGTTATATTTTATCCATTAAAATGCATCATTTAATGATCATTTATTTATTTAAAGTATATGAATGTTCTGTCTTCATACACATCTGCATACCAGAAGAGGGCATCAGATCCCACTATAGATGACTGTGAGTCACTATGTGGTTGCTGTAAATTGAACTCAGGACCTCTGAAAGAGCAGCCAGCATTCTTAACCACTGAGCCATTTCTCTAGACCCTCTGTTAAAATGTACTAGTATATTCTAATGTAATATACTATCATAGGTTATACTAATATAGCATATTTCTAGGTTTGTTGAATTGGGAACTTGAAAAATGAAAGCCTAATGTACTTTTTATATAGTTGTTAATTTAAAAATATGGAGTTTGTGAAAATAAATAAAAGGTTCTAGGTAATACTAATAGATTTTCCTACTTGAGATAATTTAACTGTATTAGCAACTGAGTGATTGTTTCCATGTTCATGTGTATTACCCATACCTCCGTGTTATCCAATGATGCACTGTCCTGTGCCCTGGGTGGAAGGGAATCTTTAGAGAACATCAGAGGAGGTTCTACAGGGTTCACAACTTCACTTCCTTTACTTTCTTTATTGGGTGTGGGGTCCATTGAGTGCGATGAATAATAAGGGAGCAGGCTGCCCTCAAATCCTATAGGGCCATTTCGATGTCCATTTCCTGATTGTCTTTGTAGATTACATTTCTCCAGGCTGGTGGATGATGGAGCTAGCACATTGAACCTGGGAACCTCGTGATATTTTTCTGTGGGATTTCTCCAGGAGTCTCCCTCATTAATGATCTGATGTGTTGGTATTACAGCAGGATTGAAACCAATGGTTGATGTTTCCCCAAACCAAGGCTGAGAGATGTCAGGGCTCTGAGAAGTGGATTCATTCAAGTGTCTTTGTTGTGCTCCATATATGGATTGCCATTTCGAACCCAAGTTTGGTGCACCTGACACAAAAAGGGGATCTTCTTCTTTGTCACTCTCACACGGTAGCGTTTTATTATTGATCTCTTCCACTAGCTCATCAAAACCCAATCTGACTTGGCTGGAAGAAAGGCACTGGTTTGTATGCTGAAATTGTTGGTGACCATATCCGCCTTCCCGTGGTTCAATGTGATTTGGGTCTGTTTGCCAACTATATGCCATTTTTGATTTTGTGCAACTGAGGGGATTTTCTTGGCCCCAAATATCTCCTCGATATTACAAATTTTCCTGGAAAGGGAAACAAAACTGTCTTTAGTGATAATGGTACTTGCAAGAAAGAAACATGTTAAATAAATATACAAATGCTTGGATTGTTCACTTGGCTGGTGGAAGACTTTCTAGAATCCTAAAGTAGTTCACGAAGACTGATGCACAGAGAATCTGAGCCATGGATGGAGAGTATTGACCGTAATATTCTTTTGATAGAAAAACAAAGAAAAACAAGTCTACCTCAATTCTGGAATGCTTCATTTTTATCGTCATTATTTATTTTTGTGTGTGCACCACTTGAGTGCCTGGTGCTGAAGAGTTAGGAAGAAGGCAACAAGTTGCTCCAACCTGGAGTTACAGATAGTTGTGAGCCACCATGTGAGAGTTGGGAACTAAACCACAGTCTTCTTCAAGGGCAGTCAGAGAGTCTAACCACTGTGCCATTCCTCCAACCTCCAACCCAGATACATCTTTTTTTTTTTTTTGGTTTTTTGAGACAGGGTTTCTCTGTATTGTTTTGGAGGCTGTCGGCCCAGCCTGGCCTCGAACTCACAGAGATCCGCCTGCCACTGCCCGGCCCAAGATACATCTTTAATCCATACAAAACCCATCTTCCCCTTGGACTTGACTACTTTTCAAACTGAGGCCAGCATTTCCTCAGCCATTCAACTTTCTATGTGAGCACTAGCATGCTAATGCCTAGTGGTAGCTAAACTGTCTTTTCATCATCAGCCATTATCCCATTCACATGAGCAGCCTTAACCCCCCCAACTCCATGTTACCAATCATATTATAATAGTTAACTAAAAACTTTCCACTCCTTAAATATAAGTCATTGCAGTTTTTGTTCACTTTTCCACAACTACTTGCATTAAATTTGTTCATGAATTTCGTGCCACTCAACTTAGGAGATTTTTCTCTCTTTTGAAAAGTTTTGGTCCTCTGCAGTATTTGATAGTCACTCTCCATCCTTTCTTTGCAGTGCCTTGCTGTTACTTTGGCTTACTACCTATCACCACCTTTCAAATTTATCCTGTATGTTATTTCTCAAACACTCCTTTGTCTATTCATTATTTTCTCCCTGATCCTTTTTTGGAGTTTATTTTCTCCTGAGTTATTGCCTCACTGTAGGTTACTCTATTCCTTCCATGGTCTATAAATTTATTTCACTTTTAGTCTTCTATATGTGTGCCTGTGTTTAGGTGTGTGAGGGTATTTACAGAGGTTAGAAGAGAGCATCATATACCTTAGAACTGAAGTTACAGGCAGTTTTTAGTCACATGTGTGTGCTAGGGACTGAACATGGGCTTTTGCAAGAACAGTGAACACTCTGAGTCACTGAGACATCTCACCAGCCCCATTCTATGGTTTAAATTATCATTTGCTATCACTTTACATGACTTCACTTAGGACTACTGAACCTGCTTAGTGTTACATTCAATATATTTTTACTGTAGTATAATTTATATAAAGTCTAAAAGTACTCATACTACCTGGTAGTATTAGAAGTCAAGATTATTAATTTGTCTGTTTTGACAATTTGTTATTCATGTCTACCTGTTATGCCAACACAGGCTATGTAGTATCACCTTTAAATCCATTGAGAATGGTCTGGCTAAAATCTTTCAGCTATAACAATATTTAGTTAAGGTGACAGTAATAATTTTACTTTTGTGCTAGTTTGGTATATGGTTGCATTTTCATCATAAAATGAATTAGTTTAGCTGTTTGGTAAATCTCAATTACCTAAGATTCAACTTGTATTCCATTGTTCTGTATGGTACAAAATGTCCTCAGTCACCCACCCAGTCCTTAAACCAGACACCAAGATTTCATCATTGAATCTTCTCTCTCCTTTATTCTATGTTCAACGGCATACCAGTTAGTTTCTCATATAAACACACCTTGGGTCTACTGTGTCTCTTGTATACCACTCCTCATTTATAATTCAAAATTCACTGGTATACACTGTTTCCTATATGCCACCCACAACTCCTAATTCAAAACCCACTGGTGTACACTGTCTCATGGATACCGCTCCCCATTCCTAATTCAAAATCACCAGCTTTCACTTGAAATATATAACTCTCAAACTGCTTCTGTAATTTCTGCAACCCATTTTAGTCCTCATTTTCTTTCTCATTATAACGCTTTATTTCAGACACTAACTGCATATTTCCATGGTTACTGGTTTTTCAGTGGTTTTCCACAAGATTTTTAAGTCCCTACATGACCTGTCTCTGCTCTCTCTCTCTCTCTCTCTCTCTCTCTCTCTCTCTCTCTCTCTCTCTCTCTCTCTCTCTCCCTCCGTCTGTCTGTCTGTCTGTCTGTCTCTCTCTCTCTCTCTCTCTCTCTCTCTCTCTCTCTCTCTGCTCACATTATGTCATTCAATTGACTTCTATATGTGGTAGCTTCCAGAACTCTGGGATGGATTGGCGGCTTTTACCACTTTTGATGGTATTTCCCTGGGTTTAGGCTGGATATTCATCTTTCTGACTGGACTGGTCTTTCTCACTATATTCATTAATCAGGGATTATTTAAAAACCCCCACCCTCCACTCTTCTACTCTTTCTCATCTGACTCTATAATCCAGACAGCTCTCCAATTTACCTGGTTTTCTTTACTCATACAGGATTGCAGGCATGAGCCACCATGTCCATCTTATTTCTTCCAAATAAAAAATTCCAGACTAGATTAGGCACGTCTGCATTTTTCTCCTCCCATAGCATGTATCACACTTTCAGTTATGGGTAGCACTACCCTTCTCACTTCTCCCACCAACGGCTTTACTGTTTTCACTTATCACTCAGCACCAAGCATGTTACTTCACTGATAGCATGCACTCATTTGTATTGGTTACATAGAGGAGTCAGTGAATTTTTAAAAATACAGAATCAAGACATAAGAGAACAAAAATGAAATGAGCCTGGAATTCATTCCTTCTCACCAAGTAAATATTGTTTGCTTATGATAGCACCTAGATCTTCTCAGTTGAGAGGATCTAGAATCTTCTGGACCCCTTGGCCTGCTTCTGAGAGATTATCTTGGCTGTGCTAATTGATGGGGACACTCCACCTACTGTGGGTGGTGGCGTTCCTTAAATAGATTACTGGACTATGCAACTGGAGGAAGGTGGCCAAGAAGAAGCATCTATTTACCCTTTTCAGTTTCCACTTGTGGATGTTCTGACAAGTTCCTTTATGCTTTGGTTGCCTTGACTTTTCATCATGATGATTGTACTTTAAACTGTGAGCCGTTTGATTCTCCATCAATCCTTGGCCTTTCTTCATGATGGACTGTGCTCTGAACTGTGACCTCACATCCACTCCATTATCCACCAATCATTTATAATATGGAAATTTGCTTTCATTATATTTTCTTTAAATGTTTTTTAATTGGGGTGCACACAAGAGCTGGCCAGTGACAGTCTCCTAAGTAGGGTTCCATTTAATTAATGGATTACATTGATAATACTCTACACACTCACAGAAATTGAACTGATAGATTTGGAAAGATTTTCATAAGATTTTTTAAAGGCATACTGAATAAAATGTTAAACAGAATTTAAAAATAATGTATAGGGGCTGGAGAAATGGCTCAGCAGTTGAGAGTATGGGCAACTCTTGTAGAAGACCAGGGTTCAGTTTCTGGAACCCGCATATCAGCCCACAACTGTCTTTAATTCCAGTTCCAGGGTATTTGTTGCCTTTTTCTGGCCTCCACGGGCACTGAATGGACATTATATATCCACACACAAGCAGGCAAACCCTCAAACATGTAAGATAAAAATTAATGAAATATCAACAAGTATTAAATTATTTAAAATTCTTCTAAAAATTTTGACTTACATAGATATATATCCCCTTCTAAGGACCTTTACTGGTTTTGTGACCGCTGCATTGCACCTTTTCACCAATCTGGCATAAATATAGTACACTTTTTCATTTATCTGTCACGATAGTCAGAAGTTCCAAGCACATAAACCTTTGACTTCACCAGCCTGACCCACAGATTTTCCTTTACCGATGACCCACTCCTCTTAATTTTACAATGAGAACTGTGGTAATGGTAATACGGTACAACACTGTTCACCTGATATTGCCAGTGATCAGTCTTACAAAGGACTAATTACCTGACCTCAATGACAAATAAAAGTCAAAATAGACTCTATTAAGACAAGAGCAATAGTCTCTATCCTCCAAGTCTATAAAGGTGGCCACATTAGCTAAACAGCTCCAGTGTTTAGAATAGGAACACAAATGACATTTTCTCTAAGGTGCATAGAATTAAAAAGGACCTTTCGAAAGGGGTCAGGTCTTGGCCCCCAAAGTTCTGGGTGTATTTGTTACTTAAAAGAACAAAACTCAGAAGACGTGCAGAGACTAGGTAATGATGATCTTGGGTTCACACAAACTCTGGACATAGAAAACAGATCAGCTTTTAAGCTTATAAATAGGGAGAAGATAAAGCACATGAGGATTATACTAGCACAGAGCATATCAAAGGTACTAAAGATAACTCATCTGTATTTTTCAGAACAATGCAAGGAAATGTGTAACCATCACAGCTAATGTGGTTCCTGAAAAGACTTCGAGTTGGAAGATTGATGTGTAGCCCTCCCTGGGGTCTTTATCTGCTTATGTAGGTATCACTAGCTGCAAAGGCAACCTTTTTTTAATTTTTTATTTTTTTATTTTTTTGGTTTTTATGAGACAGGGTTTCTCTGTATTGTTTTGGAGGCTATCGGTCCAGTCCAGCCTCGAACTCACAGAGATCTGCCTGCCTCAGCCTCCCGAGTGCTGGGATTAAAGGTGTGCGCCACCACCGCCCGGCTAAAGGCAACCTTTTAGACTTTAACCTTACAGAGTTCTCATCTTCACATTGCAATCTGGTAGACATCATCTATATTTCTTATGTAGTATATTTTTACAACATTCTTAATATTTATATAATGCATGTTCTTTTTATCATTCTACTTTTTATTTCTAATTAGAAATTGATTAACATGGTAAATTTTGCAATATCTCCTAGTATTTTCACTTAAGTGAAGGCAAAAGGTAAGATTCAGTTGTCATTTTTACAAATCACACATTTTCTTGATCATGGTTGTTCCTACAGAAACCTCACTTTCTTTTCCACCCCCCAAAGCTTCTTGTGTCTGAATGATTTACAGCCGTCACTATCCTGGAAAGATACTGACTTGACTCAAACCAATTCATATCTTTACATGTGCGTACCAGGCTTTTTCTTCTGGGCTATCAACTAGCTCCCAAATCCTGACACAGAGACATTATTAGTTCCAAATGCTTGTCTTAGCTTAGGCACATCTCTGGCTAGCCCTTTTAACTTAAATGAACCTTTATCCCTTTATCTAACCGATGCTCAGTGTTTATTATCTTTCTTGTGTATGTCTTTCACTGAATCTCTATTTCTGTCTGTCTGGCATCTGCCTGGCCTCTTACCATGGACATGTCGCTCTTTCTCTTCTCCTTCTCTAGTTTTCTCTCCACCCAGATTTCTCCTCCCTATTTATTAACTTTGCCTGCCAGCCCCAACTGTCCTTTCTCCTGCCTACCTGTTGGTTGTTCAGGTCTTTATTAGCTCAATCAGGTACCTTAGGCAGGCGAGGTGTAACAAATGCAACATAGCTTTACATAATTAAAGACACATCCTTATGTCATTAAACAAACGTATAAACAAAAGTAACACATCTTTACCCAGTTAAAGTAATATTCTGCAGCATAAACAAATATAACACATCTTTGCCTCGTTAAAATAATAATCTAAAACACACATGTATTGCAATTTTTAAAATGCAGTGAGATGAAGATTTCGAGCAACATCAAGTTCAAGTGGAAGGTTTTATTTGGAGGGGTGTTCATAAAAGGGGGAAGGGGAGGGGGGAGACTGGCAGAGAGTGGTGAACAGATAGAAAGAGGGAGAGAAAGAGAGGGATAGAGTGATGGGAGGTGGGCAGGGCCCCTTTATACAAGGGAACATACTGAGTAGGCACCTGTGGTCCTGTGGCTCTGTGAGAGGCAGCAATTGAGGGCATATCCTTGTCAGAACTCCAAAGGCAGGCCGGTACAAATGCCTAAATACGAATAACATGTACTTCCCAGCCTCGACATTTATTTATTCAGGATGAATTTTCAAGCATTTTAGGTCAAGCACTAGAAATACAAAAATAGAAAATGTGAAATGAAGCTCTTGCTTTCCAAGAACACATAGACTCAAATTTATAATTAAGCTAAGTATGCTAGAGTTACATTAATGGATAGTGGAGGCAGTAGTTCACTGGCGGGGATGTGTGGATAGAGATAATACTGGAAAGCCTATTTTTCTTGAAGAAGTAAAATTTAAGAGAGCATTTGCAGCTTCCATGTTAGGTGTGTTATTGTTTATCAGATTTAGTACTCCAGAGATAATTTAGCCCATGTCATGGGAACTGGTTTCAATGGCTTACTTGCACATGCTGTTGGGACAGTAATGAATTCTGTCCCCTGGGTATGTCTTGCCAATGAACAGGCACGTAAAGATAGCCCTCAGTCCTGTGTATAAGCTTTGGGAAATAATGTGGAGAGGGCTCTGTTTCAGGCCATCTGGGAGCCGGGGAGCCCAGCTGCATCCTGATAGTTGGTTCAAGTGATGGGCAGCTGATTATGCACAAGTCTTCCCTAGACAGAGTCTCAGGACAAAAAGACCATGAGGCATTTCCATATGAACAACAACACCTTCTACACACACTTGTGTTATTGAATGGCCTTGTAAGAGATGAGTGGACTAAAGGAGTATTTCCAACAATTTACTGTGTGTTCAGAGACATCTTTTATATTAAAACCGCTTGTGGCCATTATAATGGATTTCTCTGATTTCTTTTTCAGCCCGTTTATCGTATATATAGTAGACTACTGATTTTTTGAGTTAATCTTGTACCATGCCACTTTGCTGAAGGTGTTTATCAGCTATAGGAGTTTCCTGGTAGAGTTTTATAGAGTTTTTTGATTCACTTGTGTAAAACCACCACAGAGGCACCACGGAACCCTCAAAAGGAGCTGATTCTTGCCGCTGCCGCTGTGGAGCTGCTACGAAACCGCCACAGAAATCAACAGTCCCTCTGTGCTAGTCCAACCAGCCCTGGTCCTTTCGGAGTTTGCAGAACGAGCACTGGTGAGTAGCTGCCACCTTTTCTCCACCACTGTGGGTGCTCCTGCTCGGGAGTGATTCCAGTCCCCGCAGCCCTACCATGATTCCTCCGTGATGACCACAGCTGCACATTGCCATAAAGCCACAGGGTGCGGAGTTTGCTTCCCTTCACCCCCGAAATGTTCCGTGGCCACTTTTTAGCCACAGGTTCCTGCAATCTGCGCAGCGCTCCCTCCCCCCCTTAACAAAATCCCACTCACTAATGTGTGTACACGCTGCTTAGAATTTTTCAGATATTATTTGGGATATACTGATCTTCCGTGGCAGAGCTGCGTTTGGTGGTACAACTGTGCTACCTGCTGACCAAGCATAGTTACTGCAAGTAAAAATCCTTTCCTTAACCCGAGATAACTGGAGGTTAGCCTTGCAGTTTGGTACTTTAAGATGGTGATAAGATTACATACTCTGTACCATGGTGGATAATCAAACGATGCAGAAAATTAGGGATCTCATTGCTTATTTCATGAATGACATCCTGGGAGAGAATTATGACATGCATCGAATTTGTTTGTGTCTGATGCTAATGATTAGCTTCATAATACATACAATATCATGGAAGAGATGCCTGAATAGCAGGGCTGAAGGAAGGGAAATTGTGCAAATGATTGGAAAATTAGAGTCAAAAAGTCAAAAGCTTGATGTCAATGTGGAAATATCTAACAAAGTAGATAACTTAGAGTTAAAAGTAACCACCTACAAGACAGGATTGTTTATATGACTACTGCCCTAATGGACAAACTAGAATCCATTCAAGAGGACATTATCAGGCTGTCAGAAACAACTCTGATGACTGGATTAATAGAATTCAAAGACTAGAGTTCTTTTAATCAGATTAATGAGTTTACTAAAAAATTCATTCCACGTCTGAACATAATGACTGGCTATCAAATAGAACACTGTTCCTAGAAGGCAACTTACATGCCATTCAAATAATATCTAAGGATGAGAATATTAAATGCTTGGAATCATGTAGAAATGATGAATCCAAGAAACTGTCAGACTCCATGAAGTCCTTAGAAAATTTTTTAACCCAGGAAGTTCAAGCAGTCAGAGAAACGATGGCCAGTAGGCTGCAGGTCTTAGAGTACCTACAATCTGATACATCAGATTCAGAAGTACTAGCAACATGTCATGACAGAGTTTTACCTACACCCCTCAGACACCGGAAAGATCTTCCTAAGGTTGTTACGCCATCTCCTATGGTCGTCTCAGTGTCTATGACTATAAAACCAGCAATGAAGAAGCATCCAAATAGTTCAAGGAGTTGAGGAATTCTTGGGGGAGCTTGAATAGGGTGACCCCAAAGGATTGGAATTGATTGTTCTCTGCAGTGCTGGAAAATTTGTCTCAAATACAATGGAGAGCTTTATGGAGGGAAGGTGTAAAGGCCCTCGAGCTCCAAGGCCTAAAGAAAGGTTGTGAAGTTCCCCAAGATAAGATACTTGGTCAGAGTGCTTATGCTGATCCACAGGTTCATCCTGAGTATGATGAACACATCATGTCTTTGTGCCATACAACAGCTCGGAATGCTTTGAATAAGGTTCATGAACGAGGAGAGAAAATACAACTCTATACCAAGGTGGTACAGGGTCCAAGAGAAAAATTCACTGAATTTTTGGAAAGATTGTCCAGAGAAGTAGAATTACAGGTAACTGACTCAGATTCTATGTGTATACTTATAGCATCTTTAGCTTATGAGACTGTAAATCCACAATGCAAACAGGTACTTTGGCCATTGGATGAATGGGACTTGTATACATCTAATATTGAGTATAAAGATCAAGATACAGAGGCTTGGATAGGAGAGACCATTTCTAAAGATTTGAAGAGGCACCAAGATGCCAAATGCCTTAACAGTGAGGATGGGTAGGAGAAGCAATCTATAGATTGCTTTTAAATACCAGATGTCTTAATTGTGTAGAATATGACATCTGAGAAGAAATTGTAGGCTAAACATTCTTAGAAATAATGTTCCTCCTAGGAATGACTCAAACAGAAGGCCTCAGCCTTATGGATTATGTAGGAGATGTGGCACAGGCAGACACTTGACTATTGAATGTAGGTTGAACACAGACAGACAAGGTCACCCTTTAAAATTGGGAAACTCCTTGGGGAGCTCTCGACGATCCCCATGTTAAAAGTGGTACCATCATTCACAGTCACTGTGGAGGACAATCTCTCACAGGATGATTAGAAGATCCACTGCCTATTGTAAAAAATAATACTGATCAGGATGATAGATTAGCTACTGAGGATAAACCTATCATAAATGGAGCAAACAAAATACATATTTTGGCAAACTTGTTTACAGGATCACAAGCCCAAATTGCAAGTTAAAGTGAATAAGATCATTATCGGAATTGTAGACATTGAGACTGATGTCACCATCATAACCCAAAAATCTTGACCTTCCAGATGGCACCTATACAAAGTAATCATTCATTTCTTAGGGATTGGAACCCTATCTCAAGTAAAAGCACAAGATGGATTGACTGTATAGGGCCAGAAGGACAAAGATGAAGACTGAAGCCATATGTTGCAGACATCGCTGTAAATCTCTGGGGTTGTAATCGATTTCAACAATGGAATACCCAGATTAACATGTGGGGACACCAGACCTTGAGCAGAAACCCACTTCCCCTTCGGCCTGGGAGCAGGCAGCTGTGTAATGTTTACTGAAAACAATTCAGTGCTTTAAAGCTCTTGATAGGGCTCAGATAAGGGCTCGCTCACTGAGATACCATGACTTTCACACCCCCTATGGCTAGATGCCTCTTCCTGTCCCCCCTGTGGTGTCTCCCCGATTCTGGGGCCGGAGATTAAACCACCAGCCAGGAGGGTGAGAAGTCTGGAAAGAATGGTATGTAGATGAATGGCAGAAGTCCTTAAAAAGGGAAGCTCCTTTTTCTTAGGGAGACTTCTCCTGAGAGCTCTCTCCTAAGCGGACTGGGGTCTCCTCCTAAGCTGACTTGGGAAGCATAAAGTTTTCTTAAAGCAACCGACTGGTCTCTGTGTCATCTATCCTGACCACCTCGCTACATTCTCGGATGCAGGCCGCACAGCAGGTGCGACATTAACATTCCTCTTCTATCAGATATGAATCATAAACAAGCTCTTAGAGGTAGAAAAAATATTGTAAGTCACTACAGAAAACAGTTGCCAAACATACAGGCTGTACAGAAACAGGATACTACTGCCAAACCTACAGAGGAAACAAAAGCCCTACCATTAAAATGGCTAACAGATGAACCTATCTGGGTAGGGCAATGGCCTATGATCTCGGAGAAGCTTGAGGCTTTATAAAAACTGTCTCAGGAACAGCTAAATGCAGGACATAATGAAGAACCCACCTGTCCATGGAGTTTTCCTGTATTTGTTATCAAAAAGAAGTCTGGTAAATGGAGGATGCTTACTGATCTGAGAGCCATCAATAAAGAAATTCAATCTATGTGCTCTTTACAGCCTGGGATACCATTGCCTTCTCTGATACCCAAAGAATGGCCCATGATAGTAATTGATCTAAATCATTGCTTCTTCACTACACCTTTACAAGAAAAATATAGGGGAAAATGTGCCTTCACAGTGTCTATCTATAACAATTCTCAACCAGTTAAGTGATTTCAATGGAAGGTTTTGCAACAGGGAATGTTGGGTCATACTTTGTGCCAGTATTTCATGCAAAAACCTTTGGCAATAATTCACAAACAATTTCCACAATCCATAATTTGCTATTATGTGGATGACATACTGCTGACTGATTCAAAAGAGGGAATGTTGTAAAAGATATTTGAGGTAGTAAAGGAAATTTTGCCTTGCTGGGTATTACAGATTGCCCCCAAAAATATACAAAGAGGAGATTCTATTAATTATTTAGGTTATAAAATAGATATACAAAAATTAGACTGTAAAAAGTACAGATCATGAGAAATCATTACCAGACTCTTATTGATGTTCAAAAACTAGTAGGAGGAATTTCTCAATAACAGACAATTATTGGAGTAGAAGGGCATGATTTAAAATACCTAAAAATGACCCTAAAAGGAGATAAGGACTTAAATAGTCCATGAACATTATCAGCTGTGGCTGAAAAATAATTAGAATGGGTAGAGAAGATAATACTAGAAGCACATGTAGATCATGTGGATTCAAAACTAGATTGTATTCTGGTTATTTTACCATGTAAAGAATACCCCTCAGGGATTTTGATGTAGAGGGATTATATCATACTAGACTGGATATTTCTGCCACATAAACAGAATAAAAAGCTGAAGACATATATAGGAAAGATCTCTGATTTGATTTTAAAAGGTAAATTAAGGCTTTGTTAACTAACTAGAAGGGACCCAACAGAAGTTATTGTACCTTTAATGAAGAAATTTCCTCCTTTTGGAAGGATAATGAATATTGGCAAAGGGCTTGCAGTGACTTTTTGGGAATGATTAGTAACAATTATCACAAAACAGAGAGAATCAAACTCATGAAGAAAACAATTTGGATCCTTCTATGCACTGTAAGAAAAACGTCAATCTCTGGGAGTCCCTACATTTCACACTGATGCAAACAGGTCAAGAAAGGCAGGTTATAAATCAGAATTATAAGTAGAATAATTCAAAGCCCTTACAACCGTGTACAAAAGGCAGAGTTGTATGCCATTATCATGATATTTACAGATTTTACAGGGCCTGTCAATATAGTTACTGATTCTCAATATGCAGAGAGAGTTGTCTTACACATTGAGACCACTGAATTTTTTCCTGAAAATACAGAAGTAGCTTTACTGTTTATACAATTGCAGGAAACTATCAAAAATAGAACTCATCCTATATACATATCACATATCAGAAGCCATACGAGTCTGCTAGGTTCTCTAGCACAAGGTAATAGTGAGATTAATCATTTATTAATAGGAAATGTGTTAGAAGCTTCAGAATTTCATAAAAAAACACCATGTTAATAGCAATGGCTTAAAAATGAGTTTTTCTATCACCTGGCAATAAGCCAAGGAAATAATAAGAAACTGCCCCACCTGTTCAGTCTATAATCAAACTCCATTACCAGCAGGCAGTAATCCCAAAGGTATCTGCAGAAATGGAACTTGACAAATGGATGTGTTTCACTTTCCAGAGTTTGGAAATTTAAAATTTGTGAACCATACCACTGACACATTTTAGCTCTGAAAAGGCTGATTATGTTATCACACCTCTGAGAGGTAATGGCCATTATGGGTATACTGCACAAATAAAAACTGACAATGCTCCAGCATATGTCTCCAGCAAATTGTAACAGTTTTTCAAATATTATAACATAAAGCACATAACTGGAATACCATACAAACCCACAGGACAGCAGTGGTTGAGCGATCTAACTGCACTCTAGAAGAAATGCTCCATAAGATTCCTCAGAAAAATGGGAATAAACCTTCCACAAGACCCAGCAACTCCACTCTTAGGCATATATCCAAAAGATGCTCATTCATACAACAAAGATGTCTGCTCCACTATATTCATAGCAGCATTATTTGTAATAGCCAAAACTTGGAAGCAACCTAGATGACCCTCAACTGAAGAGTGGATAGAGAAAATGTGGTACATTTACACAATGGAGTACTATTCAGCAGAAAAAAACAATGGAATCCTGAAAGGCAAATGGATGGCACTAGAAGAAACCATCCTGAGCGAGGTCACAAAAAGAGAAGCATGACATGTACTCTCTCATATATGGATTTTAGACCTATATCTGGGGAGTGCCAGCCTACAATCCCATGGCCAGAGAGTCTGGGAAACAGAACCTTCATTCAGTGGCTGATGGAAGCAGAGGCAGACTCCCATGGCTAAGCACTGAGCTGAACTCAAGGAACCCAGTGACAGAGAGGGAGGACTGATGACCAAAGGGATTAAGACCTGGCTGGTTTAACCCCCAAACTGAATCTTTAAATAAATAAATAACATTGAATAGCATTGTTTTGTTGTAGACTACAATGTGAAATGTAAATAAATAACCATACTTAAGGAAAGAGTGAACTCTTTTTGTACAAAGACTACATTTAATTTACTTATACCCTGTAGAGTTTTTACACCGCCATTGTGGGTTTGGAAGACAGAAAAGAGTCTCATTTATATTTGATATATTTACAATAAGAAATATCAGGTTATTGCAAGAATACAAATACTTCTTTTAGAATTGTGAGCTTTATTTATGTCTCATTAACATATTTATAACTGGTGTAATAACAAAATTATTTTTGAAAATTAATAGTTGTCTCACATTAGAAATAGACATCTTTATGAATTGCCTTTTATATAACTCAGTTGATACTTTTTGAAAATTTATACCGTACAAACATGTGTGATAATTTGAATTCTTAAAAAAAGTTTTACAGATTTTATGCTAGACAAAAACACTTCAGAAATTCTGAAAGAAATCTAATAAAGTTTTAAGCAGTAAAAAAAAAAGAAATGTTCCATAAACAGCCAGGGGGAACAAAAACCCCCAAACCCAGATTACATAATACTTTATTAACATTAAACTTTCTTAATGCCAATGAGAAAGGACAAACAGCTGCAGAAAGATACTGGATTACAGAAAAAATCTTCTGAACTAAACCCAGCCAGTGTATTTCAAGCATATTATGACCTCAGTTTGGAAACCAGTATACGTGTTATGTTGGGGAAGGGGTTTTTCCTTTGTTTATGCAGGAGAAGAAAAGTTGTGGATTCCATAAAAATTGATCAAGACTTGATCCAAACAGGAGAAACCTTGGGAGGAGGAAAGACAACTGCTCATCTACAAAGTCATATTCTACAAAGTATAAGGAGACCTCACAAAAGGAAAGGGAAGTGTTTTGTTCTTGTCTTCACAGGAAAACCCATCTTGAAACAGTGAGAAGATACTGAGAATGTTAAATAAAGAAGAGAGGATGGGTACCCAGAGAACCATCAAACAGAAAATAATCTGATATTTGGTATCAATGTCAATTTTTCAACTTATGTCCTTATAAAATCCATTTCTCTTTACTTCCTAATATTCTTTTGGTCCCAATTCACTTAAACCAATGCTGATGTTGGAGTTGGATTTGACTCTCCTCCTCTAAATTCAAGCATGTTATTAAAACAAAATTCAGAGTTTCTGCATTATATCAAGGAGACAATTGATGTAAGACAGAAGAAAACAAAATCTAGGGACTGTTATCTGCTTATAATCAGTTATTTCTCTGAAAGTCTAATTTCCCTCACATTTACTATTTTCCTTATTGTTTCCCAGTATGCATACATATAAAAGTTAACATTTCTTTGTTGACATTGTCTTTTGAGTTTCCACAGAGAACAAAGAATTTCCTAAGAGCAATCTTCCAAAACTTCTGAAAGAAAATGGGGCGCCACTTCATCAACTCCACCTAATCCAACTTGATACATTTGAACTACAAGTACCACACTGAAACCTGTTTGGGACTACATCGCTCTACACAACTCCAGACTAACTGATAAGGGGTACCTTCTACAATCTGGCCAGGGTCTCAGACAGGAGCGTCAATCAACATCAGAACTTCAGCCAAGATCTTCAATCAAGCATCTCTGGTCAAACAGAGACTGGAGTACAAATGTTGTAACTAGTCCACTTGAGACTTTCACTACATTAACATTGTCTGCCTACAGGATCCCTTGAGGTTATCATCGTCCCATTTCAGCAGGAAGTAATTTTGAGAACACCATGCTCCCTTTCGCTACTGTTTATATTACAGGATAATTTACACCTGTTATGGTTAGTTTTCAATTATTCAGAGTTTGGATTGGAAGAAGGTGTTCAGACTTGGGCACCTCTTTCAGATAAGTTTAGGGGTTAGATGGGATAGATATATTTAGGATAGGATATAGGTATATTATAATTTTTATCACCTTCTTTGTATATATGCTGAAAGACCCTAGCCCAGTCTAAACAGGCAGCTGAGGCTTATGGAAAATTCCGTTTCCCCCACAATTGAATAGTCATTGCTATCAGAAGGGAGCTCTGCCCAAGCATACAGGCTGCTGGGTATCTGCTGCGACCAGATGGCCAGCCCAGCAAGATTGGGCAAGCACAGAGACCTATTGTTCCTCAGATAGGGCCAAGGCCGAGACTTGAGTTCCAAGCAAAACCTCAATTGCCCTCGTTCTGAGCCCCAGCCTCATTTAAATTACCCAATCAGGGTCCTGTTACTAGGCTTCTCGCTTCTGTACTGCGCTTTTTGCTATAAAAGAACCCCTGAGTCCCCAGCTCGGGGCTCTCAGTTCCCGAGACTGAGACGCCCCAGGTACCCGTGTATTATCAATAAAGCCTCTTGCTGTTGCATCCAAGCTCGTGGTCTCGTTGTTCCTTGGGTTCGGGTCTCCCTTCCGTGAAAGTATCCCACTTGGGGTCTTTCATTTGGTGCGTTGGCCGGGAATTTGAGACCCCCGCCCAGGGACTACCGACCCACTTCTGGGAGGTAAGAATTGTCCGGACTCAATTTCTGTTGTCTGCTGTCTGTCTATGCCTGTTACTTTCTCGCGCCTGCGTCTGTAGTATACAGCTGTATGCATTTGTATTTGTCGGCACCGAGGAGGAATTGACGGATTCGTACTCCCGACCGCAGCTCCAGGAGACGTCCTGGTAGCATCTGGAGTCCTTAGGGACTCGTCTGTTTGGGGTAGATGTCAATCTACCCCGTCTGTATCTGGAGTCCTTAGGGACTCGTCTGGTTGGGGTAGATGCCTAGGAATCTGCCCCGTCTGTTTGGGGAAGTCCCGCTGGCCGAAGGATTTTCCATCCTGGTAGGGGACGAGGATGGGAGCACGAGGCCCCCGTCCCTGAGCTCATCTGAATTTTTGCTTTTGACTTTACGTCAAAGCCGCGCAGCGAAAATCTGTTTGTTTTTGTTTCTTATCTGTTCATCCGTCTTAGTGTCGTTTGTCATCGCTCTCGAGAAAATGGGCCAGACAGTTACCACTCCGCTTAGCCTGACCCTTTCACATTGGCAACAGGTTCAGGAATACGCTCACAACCGGTCTGTCGATGCGCGCAAGAAGCAATGGATCACCTTTTGCTCTTCTGAATGGCCAACTTTTGATGTTGGCTGGCCACGAGATGGCACCTTTAACCCTCAAATTATCTTCCAGGTGAAGGAGAAAGTCATGGATCCTGGACCCCAGGGCCACCCGGACCAAGTACCCTATATAGTTACCTGGGAAGTGCTGGTCTATGACCCTCCTTCCTGGGTGCGCTCCTATGTGCACCCAGGAGGTCCCTCCCCCTCCTCTTCCCTAACCCCCGCCACCGCCGCAGCTGCAGGCACCGCTTGGGCTGCGGCTCATTCCCGGTTCGCATTCAGCATCCCGGCCGCTGCAGGTTGGGCGCCCTGAGTGTGACGTCGCGACCGGCGGCAATGCGAGGGGAGCTTCGTCTGCCTCCCTGCGGCCCGCGGTGGACTGGGTACGGACAGAGAGCGGCCGCCACGCCCCTCGCCCCGCTCCCCTGCGGCCGCTCCGGCTCTTCCAGGGGCCCCGCAGCCTCAGGCCGCTCCGTATTCAACCGCCCTGCCTCCCCGTACGGGCCCCGATGGCCAGTTGCAGTACTGGCCGTTCTCTGCCTCGGATCTTTATAACTGGAAAAATAATAACCCCTCCTTTTCAGCAGACCCCGTGAGACTGACTGATCTATTAGAATCGGTTCTCACTGCCCAACAGCTTTTTGCAAGTCCTCCTAACTTCGGAGGAGAGACAGCGGGTCCTTCTTGAAGCCTAGAAAAAAAAATGTTCCTGGTGCAAATGGACAACCTACGCAGCTTCCAAATGAAATTGATGCTGCTTTCCCCCTTGACCACCCCGTCTTTATTGCCAGTTGCTTGTAGCGAGTCTCCGAGGGACGGGTAAGCGATCTACAAATTTGGCCCAGGTAAGACAGAGAGTTCAGAAGGCAGAGGAATCGCCAGCAGCATCTTTAGAAAGACTTAAAGAAGCTTACAGAATGTATACCCCATATGACAGGGGTATACACTACCAGATGTATTGAGGGAGGCAGAACACATTTTTAATAAAAGAGAAGCTCAGGTAGAGAGAGAGAGAAAAGATGGAGACAGAATGTCAGAGACAGGAAATTAGAGAGAGGGAGATAGCAAGGGACAAGAAGCATAACAGAGAAATGACTAAACTGTTGGCCACAGTAGTCGCAGAGCAGAGACAGGATAGGTAGAGAGAGGGACAAAGGGGGCCTCACTTAGAAAGAAGGACCTTTCAGAGACCCAAACCCCCTGCCGGTCCCCCTGGAACACTCCCCTGTTGCCAGTCAAGAAGCCAGGAACCAATGACTATAGGCCGTTCCAGGACCTCCGGGAAGTCAATGAGCGGGTTGAGGACATACACCCCACGGTCCCCAATCCCTATAACCTCCTGAGTGGACTGCCACCTGACTATGTTTGGTACTCAGTCCTGGATTTAAAGGATGCCTTCTTCTGCCTGCGATTACACAAAGATAGTCAGCCACTGTTTGCCTTTGAATGGCAGGATGCAGACCTGGGAATCTCGGGACAACTTACATGGACTAGGTCGCCCCAAGGGTTCAAAAATAGCCCCACCCTCTTTGATGAGGCCTTACATCAGGACTTGGCCGGGTTTAGAGTCCACCATCCTGAGGTCATCCTCTTACAATGACATCCTGATAGCCACCAAAACAGAGGAGGAATGCCTTAGGGGGACAGAAGCTCTCTTAAAGACTTTAGGAGACTTGGGGTATAGGGCCTCTGCCAAGAAGGCCCAAATCTGCCGGACCCAGGTCACCTACTTGGGGTACAGAATCCAGGATGGAAAACGTTGGCTAACAGAAGCCCGCAAACAGGCCATCCTTGACACCCCCCCCCAAAAACTGCGGGAATTCTTGGGAACGTCAGGTTTCTGTAGGCTATGGATTCCCCGGGTTCGCGGAAATGGCAGCACCCCTGTACCCCCTCACCAAGACGGGGGCTACCTTTGACTGGGGGGAGAGCCAGGAGAAAGCCTTCATGGACATCAAGAAGGCTCTGCTCAGCTCCCCAGCTCTGGGGTTACCTGATCTGACTAAACCCTTTGACAAATTGACTTTGGGGCAGCCTTTGACTATCTATGCCCCCCCCCCGCTATGGAGGTGGTCATCAGGCAGCCACCGGGCCGCTGGCTCACCAATGCCAGGATGACCCATCACCAGACTCTGTTGCTGGACAAGGACCAAATTCACTTCGGGGCTCCGGTGACCCTAAACCCCTTCCCAACCCCGACCATGTCTGGTTCACGGACGAAAGCAGCTTTGTACATCAAGGGGGGAGGGAGCGCGCTATGGAGGATGGAGCGGGGGTGGGGCGGAAGCGCGCCGACGCGGAGGAAGGAGCGGCGGGAGCCGCACGGCCCGAGGCCGGGAGCCGAGCGGAAAGCCGGTGCGGGAGTGCCAGCAGCCTCTGGTTTCTTCCGTGACTGGGTCCCACCTCTGTTAACACAGGCTCTGAAGCTGGCGGAAGGTAAGAAACTCACTGTCTACATAGACAGCCGTTATGCCTTTGTCACGACATCATACATGCCCAGGGCATCAGAGAGGCGACAACCCAGTCGCCCGGGGAAACCGGAGGGCAGACCGGGCCGCCCAGGAGGCTGCCCTGGCCATGGGAAACAGCAGTCACCTCCTTCAAGCAGCTGTAGTCTGATTAGCAGCCTACCCAAACTCACTCATTTGAGCTCCAGGAAAATGCAAGAACTATTAGCCCGGGAAGAAAATACCCGCCACCTGTTGGAAATGAAAGAAACACTAAAACAAGTGACTGAGCGATGTGACGCCTGCGCCCGCGTAAATGCGACCAGGCTAAAGCTACCCATGGGGACCCGAGCTCAGGGGCACCGGCCTGGGGTGCACTGGGAAATAGATTTCACAGACCTCCTGGTTTTTGTTGACACCTTCTCGGGATGGACTGAAGCCTACCCCACCAAGCACGAGACGACAAAGGTGGTCACCAAGAAACTTCTTGAAGAAATCTTCCCCCGTTACGTAATGCCACAGGTATTGGGGACAGACAACGGGCCTGCCTTTGTTTCTCAGGTAAGTCAGTCTGTGGCCACCTTGTTGGGGATTAATTGGAAATTGCATTGTGCTTACTGACCCCAAAGCTCAGGACAGGTAGAGCAAATGAATAGAACCATTGAGGAGACTCTAACTAAATTATCGCTTGCAGCTGGCACTAAAGACTGGGTCCTCTTGCTCCCCCTTGCCCTCTATCGTGTCCGGAATACACCGGGCCCCCATGGTCTCACCCCTTTTGAGATTTTACATGGAACCACCATTCCCTTTGTTCAGTTCTTTGACCAAGATATTTCTGACTATGCCAATTCCTCCTCTCTTCAAGCTCACCTGCAGGCACTCCAGCTGGTCCAGCAGGAAGTCTGGAAGCCCCTGGCCCAAGCCTACCGAGACCAGAGGAGACACCCTATCGTCCCCCACTCCTATCCCGTGGGAGACAGCGTTTGGGTCCGACGCCACCAGGCTAAGAACCTTGAACCCCGCTGGAAGGGACCATACACGGTCCTGTTGACCACCCCTACTACTCTCAAAGTGGACGGGATTGCTGCTTGGATACACGCCTCGCATGTGAAAGCTGCCTCCCCTGAGGATTCAGACCCAGGATGAAAGGCCCAATGCACTCAAAATCTTCTAAAGATAAGACTCTCCCGAGTTGTTTGATTGCCTTCTTATACTTCATGCTTACCTTTCCCCTTATTGAGGGAAGTCCTCACCGAGTATTCAATATTACTTGGGTGATAACCAATCTGGGGACGGGACATACTGCAAACCTGAGTT